TCGTCGAGGCCATGTGAAAATGATTTATTCATTTGAAACTGTTAAAATTGATAGCAAGTGGATGAAGGGTTAAACGACGACCGGATTCACCCCAAACTTGGTGTGTTGGGTTTTAGAATATGTAGATCAAGTTCAACGGAAGGCGGATCATCCAACAATGTAGCTTAATTACTGTTTTAGGCCCGCGTTCTTAGAGTATTATCTAAGGTGTCACCTTTAGGAACACTTTCTCATCTCTCTCTCTCTGCGTCTCAATCTCTCTCTCTCTATTATATATATATATATATATTATATAATATATATATATATATATATATATATATATATATATATTATATATATATATATATATATATATATATATATATATTCCTTTTTTCTTTCCTCACTTCAGTTTAGAGAAGATCATTATTTAGATGATACTAAGGTCATGATCAGCAAAGTTGAGACTAGACAATGGAGTTTATGAGAAGATTTATATTATATCCTGTCCATAATAACAATAAAAGGGCTGAGAATTTTAAGATATACATATAAGACCGTACAATTATTTTCTTAGAATGGTGTCATCCTTCTGTTTTCCTGCTTTTTTTTCTCATAACCAGACTTGATAATAAGTTTTCAGCCTAGAATATTTGATTCTTTTTCCATCAATTTCTTCTAGTTTTCTTCCCTTCATATCCTCGGTATCGAAGTTTATATTCCTGCAAGAAAACAGTGTTCCTATTCTGCATTTGGTTGTGTCGAATGCAAATAGCAAGATAAAGGTCTATTTCTCCATCTGGTTGGCTTGTGTTCAATATTCCCTTTTCCCTTTATTTTTAAGAAAAGAATTGTACCTACACAAATAACCAAATTAAGCTAAATGATGTTTCAGAATTGGATTCTTAGTACTTCCCCTTTAAATTTTCTCAAAAAAGTGGGCAATGTTGGATTGCAAAGTTAACAACTCAAGAGCCTCTCCTAGATGTGGAGGGTAACACGTATCAATCAATGAAAGGATGAGGGATTGATGGTTAAAATGTCATTATCATTCAAGTAGGAATTTTAAAAAGCACTTGGACCCAAATAATAATAATAGTGTAATAAATACAAACTCAGCTTCTCCAGTGTTTTTTTGTTAGATGTCTACTTGCCTGATCTTAAGTACAGAGAGAATGTTTTTCACTGATTTTTGTCAAATGAAATATATATTGGAAAAGTTAAGGATCGTATTATATTAAATACTTATGGTGTATTTGGGAGTTTACTAAGGGCCTGTTTGGATTCGTAGGGGGTGAAGGGAAGTTAAGGGAAACTGAGTGAAGGGAAAGGAAGGGAAGGGAAGGGAATTCTCTTCCCCTTGGTTACACCCCAATTTGGGGGGTAACAATTTTTATACTATTAAGGGGTGAACCAAGGTGAATGGATGTGAATTAACTTCACCTCCTAAGTGTTCCCAAACAAGATGAATGAAGGTGAATGGTTCCCCTAACTTCCCTTCACCCTCATTCACCTCAATCCAAACAAGCCCTAAGGGAAGGGAAGGAAAGGTAAACAACGGGAATGGAAGGGAAGGAAAGAGAATATAATTATAATATGTTGTTTGGGAGTTGAGTAAGGTGAATGAATATGAAATGAAGTAAATATATGTAAATTTACATAAATAACTTTATACAAATAACACGTCAGCCCTTTTATTTGTTTTGATGAGGGTAATAATGTCATTACACCCCTTTACACTCCTCTACCGCCCAAATCGGGAGGAAAGAAAACTAAGTAATTTTACCCTCCGTTCCCCTTCATTCCTCCTCTCTACCCTCCTTAAAAAAACTCCCAAACAAGGTGAAAGCTGTATTTCTCTTCCTCTCCCTCTCTCTACCCTCCATCCAAACAGGGCATTAATTAAGCCAATTTAGGTGCTAAATTGTATGCCATTGAGTTCACCTTGCTGAACCTAATTTTTTCAATAGAATTTCTTTATTTAGTCTATCTCATGCGTTATGCATTCAGAATCCACCTCGTTGTACAATAGAATTTTTGAACGCATAGAGCTATTGAAATTGAGGGTCTATTTGTTTGGCGGAATCTGATTAATGAATCTCTGGTCTTTTAAAAATTAGTAGATGCTATGTTCCCAAGCTATTGTCATTCAATTGTTCACCGATGATTCTCAGTTTCTTATACATAATAGTCTAAAGCTTAATCTATAAAATTAATATCAATTATTTTCCCTACCTAGTTTCATATTCCTGCAAAGAAATAATGGAAGAAAGTAAGGGGAAAAAAGGAAAATTAAACATGAATATATACCTTCAAAACATAGGACTTGGTGAATTTTTTTTCCAGCTATATCATTCCAAGACATTTTCATTAGATAACTGCACATGCATGGCACGCGGCTTAAGTTAGTAGCATATAAAAGAAAGGCTAAATATCATAAACCCCCTCTTAACTTTGGACGATTAACGGAAAACCCTCCTTAACTTTGAAACTACCAGAACACCCCCTTAAGTTTAGGGGTTATAAAAGAAAACTCCTTAACTTCGATATTTTAAAAGAAACCCTCTCTAATTTAGGGTGTTTTCTGATAAAATCTCAAAGTTAAGTGGATTTTCTGATAAAATTTGAAAGTTAAATGAGGTCTTTGTAATAACCCGATACTTAAAAGGGAATTTTTTCTGATATTTTGAAGGTTAGGGGTTTTTCTGATAGTCGTCCAAAGTTAAAGGTTTTTTCTGACACAGCCTAAAAGAAGCCACCGTTTCACATGCGTGAGCCGTCACTCCCCCTTGTGGTTACATATATGCAAAGTTTTTATTAGCACAAAAATTATGAAATTAAAAGAAAGGAAACTGTTATTGGAAACTGTTATTAGAAAATTAGAAAATGATTAAAATCATCATTATTATTTTATTTGAAGCAGTACCCTCTAATCTTTGACGCAGCATTAGTTTCTTATAGAAGAAGCATCATCACAGGGAGGTGTAGGAAAAAGATTGGCTAAAGTTTTTGTCCTCCAACACAAGCAATGGCAAGAGCTTCCCAGTCTGCTGCTGAGTCTCAATCAGGTCAGAGCCCAGTCTGCTACTTAGGATCCGACGGACGCAAATCGATCGAGGCACTGTCGATCTATTCTTCTATTAATCGCGACCGTTCGATGCAACCATATCCTAATTTAACAGTGTCTGTTTAGAGTATACAATGTATTTAGCCTGTGAGCTGGGTTTTGTACAGCTGGTGCTTGAAGGCTCAGGAGAGGCTCTCAACTGCTGGGAGTTGAGAGATTCTAAGAGCATCTCCAACAACTTCTCCAAAATTTTCTCCAAAATAGGGAAGCAAAAGTCAGGATTTGGATCCTCTCCACTACAAAAAAGTAGTGGAGAGACCACTACTTTTAATCTCAAGCGTTGATTATTTAATAGGCGGTTATGATACAATCTAAATCTAACACTTACCATACCCCCGTGTATTGCACTCATTCCTAATTTACACTAAAAGAAAAAATCATAACCATCAACTAGATAATCAATGGCTGTGATTATGTAGTGGTCCCTCCACTATTTTTTTTGTAGTGAAGAGGATCCGAATCCCAAAAGTCATATTCTCCAACTAATTTTTACACCAAATCCAACAGCTTCCCCATTTTGAAGAATCCCTTTTTTCCTCCAAAAATTTAGAGAATGCTGCAGATTTGGGGAAGCTTCCCCATTTTTTCTCCTCAATCCCCATTTTGGGGAATGAGATGGGGGAATCTGTTGGGCCAAAAACCTAACTAAATTCTCAAAAAATGAAAAATGAGGAAGCTGTTGGAGATGCTCTAATTTGCTGTATCAAATACGTTTCCAGCTAATTAATGTAATTTGTTCACAACTGAAGAATATATATATATGTAATATATTTTTTCTAACTGCGAAAGGCATGTGAATGCTCCACGTCCATCGTCATAGAATGTATTTAGTTGTTTGGCGGAGAATATTTAAACTTTGTGAACATATACCGTAAACAAATAAAACCCCCTTCAATTTTCACAAAACTACCCTAATGCGGTTAAACTGCAATTTCCATTTGGGTGGGTAGACTTACGCGTGGTGATATTGTTTCCCGATGAATTTTGGGGTTCACTCTCTTTTAAGGAGGTTTTCAGGAAAACGTTGAAAATTGACAGATGTTTTCAGGAGAACCCCAGAACTTGAGGGGTTTTGTGAAATTTGCCCTTTATCATACTTAAGGTTGGTATTTTCATAAAAATAACTTTTAGCTCTCTTTTCCGATGGAATGATAAATATTAATTACAAATTTGCATTCCCCCAATTTATTTAGGCTAAATTGCACTTGAATCTGATAGTTTCTTCTGAGTTGCGCTTAAATGTCCCCCATTTGTAAAAACTTCCAATTAAATATCTCAAAGTATCTTTTTTGTTAAAAAAACCAGACGTCATTATATTTTTTCCGAAATATGAAAGTGCCCCTCTTCATTTAATATAGCATATGTGTGATTCAATTGAAATTTAAATGAATTTTACATATATAGAAATGTATCAGAATGTGACGTGACAAATCACATGAGAATACGTCATAAACATTTTAAATGCAAACGGGTGTCACCAGCTCATAACACTTTGAAAACATGAATATTTGTGTGCAAAAATTAGAAACTTCAAGGTGTTTATTACGTGCACGCATTTACAATTGGGACATTTTAAGTGCAACCACGGTGAAACTATAGGACGTTCCTTTATAAGTGCAATTTAGCCATTGATTTTAGCACTAGTTTTTGTGTTTCCTAATCTATTGATAACAGCAATTAAAATAAGGAAAACTCTTAAAGGACCCAAAAAAATGGGACAGGGGAGGTGTCCCCTCCCCATTGCTCCATGCACTGTTCATGAACAGTGCATGGAGCAATGGGGAGGGGACACGCGCTCTCAAGTTGTCGGCGGTCAGTGCTCAGTCCTCACTGGATTCTAGAAAGAGAAACTTGCACAGACAAAAAAAAACACAACCAAAAAAGAAAGGAAAAAAAAGGAAAAAGAAACTCACTATATAAATCCCGCTGAAAATACAATTTATACTAAAAAATAAAACGAAAAAAAAGCGGAGATTTTTATCTCCTCCGCTTGTTGAGGGCTAGAGAGAGAAAATCTCGATTCTTTGTCCTAACAACCTCCAGCTCACTCTAGCTCTGATCCATCGAGGTTAGCTCCCTGTTCCTCGATTTTTTGATGATTTTAGATCAATGCATTGAGATATTTCGCTAGATCTAGCTCTGATCTCGATAGATTCTTTGCTGGAAGCAGGTGGTGATGCGAAGAGAGATCTAGATCTGAGGAAGGGGAAATGGCGGCAGCACTAGCGTGGAGGCACTCGAGAAGCAATGGCAACGGCCATGGAGCTCCAGATCTGGTAGGTTCAGATCTCGAGCTAATTTTGCTTGTATCGGTGGTTGATTTGGCGATCGAGGAAAAGTACGGGATCTAGATGTTATTTTAACTGAAATTGGCTTGATGAGGCTGTTGATGAAGATCTTGATATTTTAATTTGATTAAATTAGGTTCAGATCAGTATAATGCACCTTAAATCATTGTTTTCGATTAAATTTAATGGTTCTCCCTACTCATATCTGAGAATTTACAGTACCTAAATGAGTATATTACTGTTCTTATCTGATCAGATCATCTTTCAGATGTTAAATTTTGATAGTTGTTATGGATTGACTTCTTATGTACGTCAGCAGATTTGGGAGGAGATGATTGTCATTGAGAAGTAAAATGGATCTGAAAGTTTTTTCGAAGAATTCATTTCAAGGGGTTTGGCCACTAGGATAAACCAATTAAACATGTGCTTTTGTTGAATAAACTTCACCATTAAACTAAAAATGAAAAATGAAGAAAATACTGCTTCGATATTAGCACTGTATGTCATGTACTTCTGCGACGATCTCCTATCAAGCAGTGAATCAAAGTCTTTATTAGTCTAAAAATCTCTAAATAGAACAAATAGTGTGCATTTTAACACATACTATGAGAGTTTTATGATTTAACAAGTTCCATCTTGATACTATGGGCCTAGTAAGGAAATATTAACTTCTACTTGAAGATTTTATGTCGCATGATGGGACTCAATAATGGGAACAGAGCAAACAGGTAGTTATTTTATGTCAGCATCTGATGTTCTCAATTCATTCATGAAAAACAAGAACTAGATATATGTAGGTATTTATCAGCAGTTTGATACAATTAACTGCCGAGGATATGCTACTGATTTTGCTTGTAACTTAAGTGCGAAAAATAAACACTTTAGTTTTCGAGATCAGGAAAAGACTATTTCCAAGCTTTACACTATCAATCTTGACAAGCCAATTCAATGTAAGTAGTTCATTTTGTCAATTTGATGATAAAAGGGTGTGCATAAAGTAGTCAAGTGTCAACCATTTAAAGGTATATTTTAGGATGGGATGCTAATGTAATGTTATGCATAAGAAAAATAATAGAAAGAAAATTGTAAACCCAATTGTCAATTTTGTTATTGCAATTTCCGTCAGGCTAGATGCACAACTAATTTTGTTGAAGTTCCTGAATCAAACTTGGATTATTATATATCATGATCCATGATGCATAAACTGGAAGAAACTGCAGTCAATTTATACTTACATTGGATCTGTTTTCTTATAGCTATAAATATAATTGCATCCATATCTTTTAGTGTGCCAAAGAGGTTAAGTGGGATAGTTTGTTGCTTGTGCACATAATATATATTAACTGCAAATAAACATATCAGGTACTGTGTAGGTTTACCATTTGTGCTTCAATGAATGGAAGTAAGAAGCCAATAAATGATTGTGTTTCCGCGTATCTTGTATATATGAACTATTGTTTGAGATGGTCTCTTTTTTGGACACTAAAGCATATTTGGCACATTTGATGATTCTGTTATTAATATTGGATGTTAATTTCATGACCACAGGAGCGAAATGGAGATGCTAAAGTTCAAGGTTCGGAGCCCCCAACTCCACACTCTGTTATGAAGATGGGCTCAAGGTAAAGTTTAAAATTATAGCATTTATTTATTGATAGTGGAGAACTTTAATGGGCATGGAACGTTATACATAGTCAAATCTTTCATTTACCAACAACTACAGAACTTTGCAAAGTATGTAACATGTTTTAGTCTAGGCTTGGATCAGCAATGGAACTTCTCAGTACACGTTATCAAAATAAATTCTACTGGTACAGCATGTACACTGTACAGATGGCTATCTTGTTCTTTCCCCTTTTTGCTCATCTCTTTTATTTATTTGTTTTTGTGAAAGTTAATTTTCAATAAAAGATTTCCCTTTTGGTCGTGGGGGGGGGGTAGAGCAGGCAAAGAAAACCTGAAAATACTGTGACAATGTTTGGGTATACGTAATCATTGTTTGTTTAAATTGTCGCGAATGTATGCTTGTTGTCCACTAAGGATTACCATTTGCTAATATGTAAGGATACAAGAACGTACATTGCATTAACCAGTTGCGAGTTAGTGTATTAATGGAGTTCCTGGTGTGAAAGATGCATTACAAATTACTGTGAAACAATTTACAAACTAAGATGCTGAAAAGTATGCTAATCCAGATTTTCTCTGTCTTGACCTATTAAAATATGACAAACCACTTTGATCGTGGGGTGCAATTGCAGATGAGCTAGATCCTATTTCTATACCTTTTCTATCCTGTAAGCTATTTCACTTTTACATCAAGTAGTACGAATAATCAATGTATTCATCTGTTGTGTGAACAACTGGATGCTAGATGGTACTTTCATGAGTCAAGTAGGCCAGGCCAAATCAAACTTATCACATGGATCAAACTTTTAATGGACTGGGTCAAGGAAGTATTACCTGGTAATTTGCAGTTGAGTATATTAACATGTCAAAATTTGAACCTTTGCGCCTTATGAACCATGAAATTGTTTCTAGAGGATACATGCATACGCTCACATGAAAACTACTGGCCAAATCTAGAGCAGTGGAAAATCATGTAAATCTATAGGCCTGACTTCAGTTTTTTGGTAACTTATACCCATTGGATTCCAGTTATTAATTTGTGGGTGTAAATATCAGATATATGTAGGCCATCAGAAGATAACTTAGACACTCATTTGCCCTAATTTATGAATATATAACTGGCACTTTCATTTGTTGCACGCATGCTGGTTCTATATACATGTGGATGTGTATGAGAAAAACATATTCATGCCTTATGCATCCCTCAAATATGGTAGAGAAGGTAAAGCAATAGGGAGTCTAGGCACTTATAGTGGTATTTTCGGGGTTGCCTTTAGATCAGTTTTCTGGGTGTCGAGTTCAAAGCTCATGCGACCATGAGCTGCTTTGATTCAAGCAGATGACCAACATTTAGTACAAACACTCTATTCTTCTTGTCGCGTGAACGTTTAGAAATCTCATACTATGGTTATTCTGGGGCGTGGGACTATTATACTGACCAATGTACTGTAATGTTTATCCTGGGGCAATTTACTGTATGAAGAACCAATTTTTCATTAGATTTCCACAAAATAGATGGAAAAAGGTCTGGTACTTGAGTGTATCTACAGAAATCTGGATATGCATCTTTCTTGCTAAATCTCAGCAGAATCCACAACACTGGAACTGTTTTCATTAACGTAACCTTATATTCATATTGGAATGCATTGCAACATGGTAAAATTTAAATGAAAAACATGAACAAGCTTCACTGACTGTATTCATGGTGCTTATTTAGTTTAACCTGTAGCAGAAAGTAGCTTCCACATTCACATGTTTCTTTAATTCCTATTCAAGTAACCATCTCTAGCGTCTAAAGTATACACTAGTTGTAAAATTGCTTTTACTTTTTAGCTACTTTACCGCATATGGATATCATTGCATGTTTGATTGGCGGGCTTTGAGATGCTCTCAGGGACCGTGGTATTGTGGAGGATACAGATGGGACCTTATCAAGTGTTGCCCTATGTATCGAGCAATTACGCAGGAGTTCTTCAACTAGTCAAGAGAAAGAGAACTCTTTGAAACAGTTGTTGGATCTCGTCGAAGCACGTGACAAAGCCTTTGGAGCTGTTGGCTCTCATTCCCAAGCAGTTCCTACTCTTGTTTCTCTTCTCAGATCTGGTTCTCTTGGAGTAAAGACACTGGCTGCTACTGTCTTAGGATCTCTCTGTAAGGAAGAAGAACTACGAGTAAAAGTGCTGCTTGGTGGCTGCATTCCTCCGTTGCTTGCTCTTCTTAAGTCCAGCTCATCTGAAGGTCAAATAGCAGCTGCAAAGACTATTTATGCCGTTTCTCAGGGAGGAGTAAGAGACCATGTTGGATCAAAGATATTCTCAACTGAAGGAGTTGTTCCTGTTCTATGGGAGCAGCTGAAAAATGGTGTCAAGAATGAAACTATTGTGAATAGTCTGCTAACTGGAGCATTGAAGAACTTATCTACCAGCACAGAGGGCTTCTGGTCGGCAACAACAACTTCAGCTGGTGTTGATGTGCTTGTAAAACTGCTTGCGAATGGGCAAACAAGTAGCCTAGCAAATGTTTGCTATCTTCTTGCATGTATAATGATGGAAGATGCATCTTTTTGTTCCCGAGTCTTAGCTGCAGAAACTACTAAACAACTCCTTAAGCTCTTAGGGCCTGGTAATGAGGCTTCCATTAGAGCTGAGGCTGCTCGTGCTCTTAAATCTCTTTCTGCACAGTACAAGGAAGCCAGGCGTGAGATAGCTAATTCTAATGGAATCCCTGCTTTGATAAATGCTACTATAGCTCCGTCAAAAGAATTTATGCAAGGGGAATCTGCTCAAGCTTTGCAGGAAAATGCAATGTGTGCATTAGCAAATATTTCTGGTGGCTTGTCATTTGTTATCTCTAGCCTTGGTGAGAGCCTTGAGTCATGTTCTTCACCTGCACAGATTTCTGACACGCTAGGTGCTTTAGCTTCAGCATTGATGATATATGATGAAAATGCTGAGTCTATCAGACCATCTGATTCGTCAGTTGTTGAGAAGATGTTAGTAAAGCAGTTTAAATCAAAATCATCATTTCTTGTGCAGGAGCGCACTATAGAGGCCTTGGCTAGCTTGTATGGTAATGCAATTCTCTCAAAGTCTCTTAGCAATGCTGATGCAAAGCGCTTGCTTGTTGGTTTGATCACCATGGCAGCAAACGAGGTACAAGATGAGCTTGTAAAATCTCTTCTCATACTCTGCAGAAAAGACAGTAGTCTATGGCATGCATTGCAAGGTCGTGAAGGGGTTCAGCTATTAATCTCTCTTCTTGGCCTTTCTTCAGAACAACAACAGGAATGTTCAGTAGCTTTGCTGTGTCTTTTATCTGAAGAAAACGATGAAAGTAAATGGGCCATAACTGCTGCTGGAGGCATACCTCCTCTCGTTCAAATTCTAGAGACAGGATCTTCAAAAGCCAAGGAGGATGCTGCACTGATCCTTGGAACTCTTTGCAACCACAGTGAAGATATAAGAGCATGTGTGGAGAGTGCTGATGCTGTTCCTGCTTTACTATGGCTTCTGAAAAATGGAAGTGAAAGTGGAAAAGGGATTGCAGCAAGGACATTTAACCATCTCATCCATAAATCAGATACAGGGACAATCAGCCAGCTCACAGCTTTACTAACCAGTGAACAGCCTGAGTCTAAAGTTTATGTTCTGGATGCTCTGAGAAGCTTGCTTTCTGTGGCACCACTTAGTGACATTTTGCATGAAGGGACTGCATCAAATGATGCCATTGAAACAATGATAAAGATATTGAATTCTACAAGAGAAGAGACACAAGCTAAATCTGCAGCTGCACTTGCAGGACTATTTCAGTGCCGCAAAGACCTGAGGGACAGCCATGTTGCTGTGAAGGCGCTCTGGTCGGCAATGAAACTTCTGAATGTAGAATCGGACAAAATTTTGATGGAGGCTTCTTGCTGTCTGGCTTCTATTTTCCTTTCAATTAAGCAAAACAAAGAGGTTGCTTCCCTTGCAAGAGATGCATTAGCTCCATTGATTCTGCTTGCCAACTCCCCAGTTCTTGAAGTGGCAGAGCAGGCAACATGTGCTTTGGCCAATATTCTCCTGGATAATGATCTGTCAACTCAGGTAGGCCCTGAAGAGATCATCTTGCCAGTGACTCGAATTTTGCAAGAGGGAAGTATTGATGGGAAAGCTCATGCTGCTGCAGCAGTAGCACGTCTTCTTCAGGGTCGACATATTGATGATGCGATGTGTGATACTGTGAACCGTGCTGGTACAGTTCTTACTCTTGCTGCTGTTCTAGAATCTGCTAAGATTGACTCTGCTGCTACTTCTGAAGTTCTTGAAGCATTGGCTCTATTATCAAGGCCAAAAGGAGCTGGTGCACTTGTAAAACCTCCATGGGCAGTACTTTCTGAATATCCCCACACAATAATTCCTTTGGTTGCTTGTCTAGCGAATGGATTGCCCTCATTGCAAGACAGGGCCATAGAAATTTTGTCAAGATTCTGTGAAGATCAGCCTGTTACTTTGGGGAATGTAATATCTAGCACCTCTGGATGTATCTCATCAATCTCGAGACGAGTGATTGGCTCTAACCTCCTTAAAAAGAGCAGAGTGAGAAACTGGTTGAAGCGTTGATGGAGGCAAACTTATGCATTGATCTAATATATTCTCTTGTCGGCATGCTGAAAACTTCAAATTCATTTTCTAATAATGGGGATGCTGAAAGTGGCATAGATGTAAGTATCTCCAGACACCCAAAAGAGAAATATGGACATGGTGAAGCTGAATGTAGTACAGCTGTAATATCTGGTAACGTGGTTGCTGTATGGCTGCTTTCTATACTTGCTTGTCACGATAACAAAATTAAATTTGTCACAATGGAGGCTGGAGCAATTGAAGTTCTGACGAACAAGATCTCTCACCATTCGTATTTAGCTGCTCAGGTCAGCATCTCCTTATCCAGCAACTATTTCCTAACAGTAGCAGTTGCAACTCATTATGTTCATCCTTATTTTTGGTTTCTTATTTCCTGTGCAATCTTAAGGTGTTACATGGCACTTTGTTATTATTGTATTTACATAACAGTTGCTGACTGCGACCTCTCTAGTAACATTCAGTCTTTCTATAACTAACTAGGAATTAATAACTGCAGTGTGATTCTAGAGATGACAACAGTGCATGGGTTTGTGCCTTGCTGCTGGCTGTCCTTTTCCAAGAGAGAGATATCATACGCTCAAATGGAACAATGAACTGCATTCCAGTTCTTGCAAGTTTGTTGAGGTCAGAGGAGTTAGCAAACAGATATTTTGCAGCACAAGCACTTTCTAGCTTGATCTGCCATGGTAGTCGAGGGACTCTGTTGTCTGTTGCTAATTCTGGTGTGGCTGTTGGGCTTATTTCTTTACTTGGATGTGCTGAAAGTGATATCTCTGATCTTCTGGAGTTATCAGATGAGTTTTCCCTGGCTCGCAATCCGGACCAAATTGCACTTGAGAGGTTGTTCAGAGTAGATGACATAAGGGTGGGCGCAACTTCTCGGAAAGCCATACCTGTACTTGTTGATTTGCTCAAGCCTATCCCAGATCGACCAGGTGCCCCTTCTCTTGCATTGGGTCTTCTAACTCAGCTTGCATTAGAGTGCCCTCCAAACATGCTGGTAATGGTAGAAGCGGGGGTCCTTGAGGCCCTAACCAAGTATCTTTCACTTGGACCGCAGGATGCAACTGAAGAAGCTGCGACAGTTTTATTGGGCATCCTATTCAGCACTGGTGAAATAAGGCGACAGGAATCTGCATTTGGTGCTGTTAATCAGCTTGTTGCAGTCTTAAGACTGGGAGGAAGAAATTCCAGGTATAGTGCAGCTAAGGCATTAGAAAACTTGTTTTCCACAGATCATATCAGGAATGGTGAATCAGCTAGGCAAGCTATTCAACCTCTTGTGGAGATTCTTAATACCGGTTCTGAAAAGGAGCAACATGCAGCTATTGCTGCGCTTGTTAGGTTGCTTGGTGATAATCCATCAAGAGCCCTTGCTGTTGGTGACGCTGAGATGAGTGCAGTTGATGTTCTTTGTCGAATTCTTTCTTCCAGTTGCTCAGTGGAGCTGAAAGGCAATGCTGCAGAGTTATGTTTTGTCCTGTTTGGAAATACAAGGATTCGGTCAACAATGGCTGCAGCACGCTGTGTTGAGCCTTTGGTTTCTCTACTTGTAACTGACTTCAGTGCAGCCCAATACTCAGTGGTCCGTGCATTGGATAGGCTCTTAGATGACGACCAACTTGCAGAGCTTGTTTCTGCACATGGCGCTATTGTTCCTCTAGTTGGTCTGCTCTTTGGTAGAAATTACACACTGCATGAGGCAGTTTCGAGAGCTTTGGTGAAGCTAGGAAAAGATAGGCCAGCTTGTAAAATGGAGATGGTCAAAACTGGAGTTATTGAAAGTATTCTGAACATCGTCCATGAAGCACCGGATTTTCTCTGCGTTGCATTTGCAGAATTGCTACGAATTCTGACGAACAATGCTACCATAGCGAAGGGCCCATCTGCTGGGAAAGTTGTTGAACCCCTTTTCTTTCTGTTATCTAGACCAGAAATTGGTCCTGATGGACAGCACAGCGCATTGCAGGTTCTTATTAATATTTTGGAAAATCCCCAATGCCGAGCTGATTGCAACATGATGCCTCAACGGGCTATTGGACCTATAATTGCTTTACTGGATTCACCAATCCAGGCAGTGCAGCAATTGGCTGCAGAACTCTTGTCCCATCTGCTTTTGGAGGAACATTTGCAGAAGGATCCAGTCACAGAGCAGGCAATTAGTCCCCTTATTCATGTTCTTGGATCAGGCATACACATTTTACAACAGAGAGCTATAAAAGCTCTTGCAAACATTGCCTTGGCTTGGCCAAACGCAATTGCAAAAGATGGTGGCGTTTATGAGCTGTCCAAAGTGATATTGCAAACTGATCCACCCTTGCCTCACGCTTTATGGGAATCTGCTGCTTCTATTCTATCAAGCATTCTGCAGTACAGTTCTGAATTCTTCTTGGAAGTGCCTGTGGCTGTACTGGTTCAGTTGCTTCGCTCTGGAACAGAAAATACTGTTGTCGGTGCTCTAAATGCCCTGCTCGTGTTGGAAACTGATGACTCAACTAGTGCTGAAGCAATGGCTGAAAGCGGTGCTATTGAGGCTCTCGTGGAACTTCTAAGGAGTCATCTCTGTGAGGAAACTGCAGCAAGATTACTGGAAACGTTGTTGAACAATATGAAAATTAGAGAAACAAAAGCCGCTAAATCTGCTATTCAACCATTATCCATGTATCTTCTAGACCCACAAACACAATCTCAGCAGGGTAGGCTGCTTGCAGCTCTTGCGCTGGGTGATCTTTTCCAGAATGAGGGTCTTGCTCGAACTACAGATTCTGTTTCAGCGTGCCGAGCTCTAGTAAACCTTCTTGAAGATAATCCAACAGAAGAGATGAAGGTGGTGGCGATTTGTGCGCTGCAAAATCTTGTAATGTATAGCCGTGCCAACAAGCGAGCTGTTGCAGAAGCAGGTGGTGTGCAGGTTGTGCTGGACATTGTCAATTCCAGCCAACCTGATACGTCAGTTCAGGCAGCAATGTTTGTGAAACTTCTGTTCTCTAATAATACAATACAGGAATATGCTTCCAGTGAAACAGTTAGAGCTATAACTGGTATGGTCTCATGAAATATTCTTCCATGCCTTAGTTTCTTGAATTTTTAGTGCGTATATTCTTGGTTTAAGGTTTCTGAAAATATTTTTCAGAAACACGCATACAAGAAGTTACTATAACTTTGAATGGGCAAGCTGATCCAAAGAGACACATGTTCATGTTGGTTTTTAGCACGTTGTTTAACTATTTCAAGCTTAAAATATGACAATATATTGAAAGGATGATGCCTTTTTGGATATGCGTTACGGCAATCTTTGTGAAGGCTAGGTGTGGGGTGCCTGGCTGGTTCGAGCCGTGGCCTAGCCCTGCCGTTCAAGGCCGGCGGTGACCTGCCTTCTTTTGCATCTCGGTCCACCCTCGGAAATTTTTTTTTTCCAACTTTTTTCTTTTTTTTCATTCTAAAGTATTATTTTATTCATATTATAAAATTATCTAATTATTTTCCTATTTCAAACTCTTATTTAAAATTATATATATATATATATATATATATATATAATATATAATATATATAATATATATATATATTATATGAGGAATATGGGTATGCTTGGTACAACACAAAATTTGTGCTGGCTATGGGTGAAATTATCCTCCACTCATTCAAATGGGGGACCACATCACATGGGTGGAATGGTCCCCCCAATTTAATATGAGTGATGAGAATGAGACACCCACTACCAAGCAAAAATTTTGTGCTTGTACCAACATACCATTTTAAACTATATATACTATAGTATAGTTATTTAAATTACAACATACATACTATAGTTGTAGCGAGAAAAACATCACACAGAAATACATCACAAACATAAAGATAACGTAGTTTGGACTTCGAAGGAATACTTGGCTGCCTGAGGCCCCTTATTTATTGCTGAAAAAAGTAAATATTTATAATGAAACTCGGGCTTGATCAGGCCGGGCCAGGCCATTAGTGGGCCGGGCCTATGGTAGGTAGGCCGGGTTTGCTTCTTTGGTCCTGTGTCTGGATCAAGACCCACCAGCCCATGAACCACCACAAATGTGGGCTGGGCCGGGTTTAGACCCAAACCAGGTTGGGCCGGTTCGGCCCGCGGTTCGAACCAGTCCATGCCCAATCCTAGTGAGCTTAGGATTCGGCAAATTATAGCTTATGCATACCCTCTACTCTTTTATGCTTTTATTATGGAGCCATACAAGAGTGCATTTTTTGCCTATTTGTTGGCCTCCTACCAAGAACATACAATTTCTCTAGATTACGTTGTTGCCTGGAAATGTTCCTTTAAAATCTATATTCTGATGTATCATACTTTTACATTACTTCTTCAATGATTAGGGTAAATAATAATTTTATTGAACATGGTTAATGTTAGAGTATGACATGCTCTCATATTTATTAGGCATTATTGTAATCTGCAATGAGTAGTCAATATTTCTTTCTGGTCATTCGACTGTGCTTTCCATGGATCCAGTGTCGCCTAATATTGTTTTTCCCTGCAGCTGCCATTGAGAAAGATTTATGGGCTAATGGAAGCGTGAATGAGGAGTACTTGAAAGCACTGAATGCATTTCTAAGCAATTTCCCACGTTTAAGAGCAACAGAGCCTGCTACATTAAGCATTCCTCATTTAGTAACATCCCTTAAAACCGGTTCTGAGGGTACACAAGAAGCAGCACTTGATTCACTGTTTCTTCTGAGGCAAGCTTGGTCAGCATGTCCACCTGAAGTTTTTAAAGCTCAATCTGTTGCAGCATCAGAAGCGATTCCGTTGCTGCAATACTTGATTCAGTCGGGTCCCCCTAGGTTTCAGGAGAAAGCGGAACTGCTTTTACAGTGTTTACCAGGGACACTTACAGTAACAATAAAGCGAGGTAATAATTTACGGCAGTCAGTGGGAAACCCCAGTGTTTACTGCAAGGTCACACTGGGCAGCACACCTCCTCGACAAACAAAGGTATTTTCAACTCATTGCATGCCTCATTCCTTCTGGGAAAATGGATAACTAGATTTCTCTTCTTGTTGTTTATTATAATTTATTAAACATCTACGTAGCCAAAGATGCATTAAAACAGAATCCTTGCCAGTCTCCTTTCCACTATAAGTGCAATGTATGCCGTTCTTGTATGTCCATTAGTGGTTTAACACGTGCATATTTGATGAACTGTTTCTGGAGGGATCTATCACGTCTCTTCATTTGAAAGTGTTTATCGTTTTTCTTTTCAATTCTATTTGCCGATTTGCTAGGAATGCTAATTTTATGCTATAAAGAATCTTGCAAGTAAATTCAAATTTTAGGCATGAAATCATAATCACTTAAATGATCTGTGAGGAGGGATTCATCTTGAAAAGCCTGCTTCTTGAGGGTGCTAATATATGTGACCATACCATTGTATCTCTCTTATTTATGACCACCACTTATCCACAGTAGCTTCCTATGGTATGTTTTATTACCGGATCTTTCTTATATTGACCTAGTATTAATTGCCCATTCTTGATTTTTCCAATCAATACAAAAAAAGAAAGAAGTCATTCTGAACATCTCACATGCAATCTGGGAATGGTGTATCAAGCAACAAAACCTTTGCATCCTCTGCCTTGATGTCTAAATTAGGCATCCACATCATAACCTTTGTATCTTCCCCCCCATTAATGATGGTGATATGAGTTAATACCCTTGCTAAGCATACACTACCAGAGTGCATTATGGTTGCTTAGCCTTTAATCTTCAATGATAATCCAGACATGCTCTTTAGTTACATTGGAAAGTACACACTGCATTGTCTGTAAGGGACCTGGATACATGAAGCTCACTCAATTGTAGTTCTAAATTGTCACCTGGATACATGAATAGCTTAGTTGTGTATTGACGTTAATTTGTCCATGTAAATTTCAGATCGTTTCAACTGGCCCTACGCCTGAATGGGACGAAGCCTTTGTGTGGGCATTTGATAGTCCTCCAAAAGGCCAGAAGCTGCACATATCTTGCAAGAACAAGAGCAAAATTGGAAAGGTCATACCCAAAAAACTACTTGTTACGTCCTTTGCATGAGTTGGTTATTTAAAGTTTATCCTGGATTGACGTTATTTTCATTTAATTCTCATACAACAGAGCTCCTTTGGGAAAGTCACAATCCAGATCGATCGGGTTGTGATGCTTGGATCAGTTGCTGGAGAGTATGCCCTTCTTCCTCAAAGCAAAAGTGGACCTCCACGCAACCTTGAAATCGAGTTCCAGTGGTCAAATAGAGTAATAAGCGAAGAGAATTCATCGTGAGGTATTCGATATCCTCTCTGTAATTTGTTAAAGAATTGGATCAGTTCTGCAGTTTTTGCTCTTTCGTTTGCTTTCTTCTTGTATTATTATTGTAAATAGTCAGCAGAGAATTCATCTACTTGCTTGTTTGTGATGAATTATTCTTTATTTTTTTCTTCCTCTTAAACGACGGTTGGCAAGGGTACAGCGTGCAGAGAACCTGCATCTTGTAATATTTTTTCCTTTTTCTTTTTGTGGTATCTTGTAAGTGATGTAATGCGTATGTGAATGTTGAGAGAGCGTGAGCATGAACGAAACGTTTCTAAATTATATGATTTATATGTGTTTTACAATCTAAGTTGCAAATCTTTGTCCCTGTTACGTAATTCTATCGCTGTCTGAGATCAGCCCAATGAGCGTAAACACACTCCACAGGCTCTTCTTTTATTGTTTGCGAGGGTAATTGCAGCGTCTGCTATGCTGCTGGAGCCTTAATAATTTTCTAACTAAACAATTGTCTCAAAAATCATTAAAGTTTGTTACTAAAGGTCTCTCAATTCGCATAAGTTGTTTCAAAATAACCCCTTCAATCGAGAGCAATAGTAGCTAGATGCAAGATTTGAGGGGCCTAACAGCAATTTAATTTCAATGACCTGAGGGGCACATTTTAAAATACTAAATATGTAGGTACTAGGTCTGAGAAAAAAAAATCTTTTTTTGATGTCACACGTGGAAATAGGCACCGTCCCCATCCCCGACTCCCCCGTCCGCTCTCCCGGTTAAAAAGCAAAACCTCCGTAAACCCACTGAAAGCTACTCGCGTCTTCTCTTTCGAGTGGAATCTCTTTTTTTTTCCCCCTTGAAAGAGAAAGGGGCGAACTAGGGTTAGCACGGGCCAAATTTGGAAACTAGGGTTTCTTCTATCCTTCACCCTACAAACGAGGCAAATTAAGAAGAGAGCGATCTGAGGTAAATTTCAACCCCCTTTAAGGCCTCTCGAATTTTTACTCCAATCCGATCAATTTCTGGACCAAAAGCGATTCTGTAGTGTTTTTTCCCCCATTTCAACTTATTCAACAGGCATTTTGCTCATTATTATTGTTAATATTAGATAGTCTGCGAATTGATTTGTTTGTATGGTGCAGAAGCTGATCGTGAAGGGGGAAATGGTAAGCTTTCTCTGGTGAACTCTGTCTCTACATTTTCTTTCCTCGCTTTTATTCTCAAATTATTATGTTGTTATCTGCTCTTAGGACTGGAGCAGTGACGGTGATGATAACCATGGATCTGAAAGGGGAACCGGCCGGACGAAACCGGTCCCTCCCCTTAACTCCGCTGCCGCTCCATCGAACGAGGTAGTGGAGCAAGTTGTATGCCTTTGAATTATGAGCGAATGCAACCAGTATTTAGTCGATGTAATTATAAGTCGTAACTGCTCATTTTGGTTGTTGCATTGTGATGCGGACTGATGGTTTTTGTTTGTTCGTTCGTTTGATTTAAGGATTGGGGCAGTGATAGTGATGAGATCGCCGAGTTGGACTGGGATGTCCATGAGGCAGTGCCATCGAGGGAGGTAGCAACTTACTTGTCCACTTGCGTTATGGTTTATGTTACATATTGATCTCATGTTATTTTAAGAAATATGTATCGGTATTTTGTTGCGTCATAGTTTACTTATTTGTTAATTTTTGGTACTGTCTGAGAAATCAATATCAGTTTATATTCTAGAAAGATTGGGAATTGCATTCTAGGACATCTTTGAAACTGCCCAGAATAAATGTTTACCAAGAAAAAATTTACATAACATGCTACCATTGAGCTTCAATAATCAATTCATTTTCTTTTGCTTATCCATGTGGTAACTTTATCTTTTGGAATGTGTAACATATGACTCTAGACGAAAGATATGACGTATATTCTAGGTGGCATTGATTTGTATATGTTGTATTGTGTCTCATATATAATGGGAGGATGTTAAGTGTTTCATGTATTTTGTTTTCCAAGAAAATTAACTTTCATCTTGCTTAATGTACCATGCGGTTTATATGCATCCCATCCACTAAAACAAAAGAAGAAAAAAAAATGCAAAATAAAACAGTAGGAAATAATTTAATGTGGTTGTTTCTGATTTTGACATTTTGTTAATTTACTTTTTTTGTGCTCTTATGAAATTTGAGTTTCTTCCTTTTCCAATTGTTTCAAGGTTTCAGAGGCAGGTCCTTCTCATACCAATTGGACATCCCATTTTGTCGCGATGGGATTTTCTGAAGAACTGGTGGCAGAAGCAATTAAACAAAATAGTCAGTGTCCTTCACTATGTGCTAATAATACACTTAACAACATCAATTAGCGTGTGACCTAAATTGTTTGTGGTTTGAAGGAGAAGGAGACAACGAAGGCATACTTGAGACATTGCTTACTTATGGTGTAAGTGCTTCCTCTAGTAACATATACCTGGGAGTTTTATCGACGTACATCGTCAGTTTTCTTATAGATTTATGAATGCATGCATGTATGCATATACCTATGTATGTGTGTGTACTTGTGCTTGTGCGTTGCTTTCTGGTTTTTTAAATGAGTAGGAAGTATCTGCTCAAGCCATGCCATACACACAAAGGTGCATGTATTCTGTATACATCTACACATGCATATGTACATAAACTTAATTTTGTTTCATTCTTTGCAGGCCATTGGAAAATCTCATAAGCATGAAGAATCCCCAGGACATTGTTCTCCCGCAAATGACAAAAAAGTACTGTAATGTGATTTTATCTGATATGAACTCGCGATAATTCTCTAACCTAAATTATTTATAGAGCTGATATTTGTAAACAGAAGCTTTATTATTTAGTACAGAATTCACTGGTTTTAGATCATGTAAAAACAGATTGTGCTGCTATCTATCAATAGCACATATTCAGGTTGGCATATATGCGTAACGAATTTCTTTGACAGATCAAATTATCATCTGATGTTGTCATCTTCACTCACATGGCCACCCTCCTATCCCCATACCAGCCCCGCCAGTCCCTTGCTTCCAATGTAATTTTGTCTGATGTGACCGTGTCTGAAGATATATTCGGTTATGTTGGACATAAATGGTTTCTGGCTTTGCTTGTGATGTTGATTATTTGAGCTAGTTCAGAACATATGTGATATCTGGACTGTAGCCATGGTGAATCTTGTTAATTCATAGCTCAAATAAAATATTATTCGAGCTAGTTTGCTTGTACTCGAGCAACCAGACCTGTTAATTGGATATGAAAATGCATTCCCATGGTTTATGATTGGACTCTGACTGGTTCACTGAATATTAAAAAAAAAATCTCACGCGTACACATGAAAACTTCACAGAAGAAATCCATTTTAATTTTTTCCGTTATATTTATTTTCCTTTTGTGTATGCCTAGAGGGGATTGGAACCCCTCTTTCTAGTTCTATGGTAAGAAAGCATGTTTGTTCAAAAATATAAAATAAACAAGGCTTGGAGGTCATTTTTCTTACGGAGAAATTTTGCTGTATTTTCAATTTTCTTTTAGGTATTCAGCTTAATGTCACATTCAAGTGAAATGTTACATCTATGCTATTGAATTGTAAACACTGATGAGCATTTTCTGAAATATCGGAACAGGATGTAGCTGATGGTTTCTCCGAAAAGGACAAAATAGTATCAACTCTAGTGGACATGGGTTTCCTTGCTGAGGAGGCATCTTCAGCCATTGATAGATGTGGTATGCTATGCTTTATTAGTAGCTATACTAGCCTGATTTTACATCCTGCATATTTTTTGATTGAACTTTCATTAGTCCCCGAAACATATTTAGTGCAAGATAGGTCTCATTTGGCATGTCTCATGTATGAAGTTTTAGTTTGCTTGTATTGGCCATTCTGGGGATGGCTAAAGTAAACCTTCAGGCCCCGTTTGTCAAAGGGTTAATGAAGAGGGGTTAAAGAGAAGGATTAATGTACTTAGCCCATTTGATAATCCGAAAGACTAAATTATTAACCCGTTAAATAAGTTTTATTTTAGCCCTTATGATCAGTTTTAGTGTTTGGGAATAACAATGATTTTGACTATTTTCTTTATAATTAGAAGGGTTAACTCTTATTCCATCTAAATAGGAGTATTAGTAAACCCCTCATTTTGAGGGGTTAACTCATTTTAACCCCTCTAGAGGGGTTAACTTAACCCTTCTATATTTTTTATGTTTGCCAAATTATGGAGGGCTAACTCACTTTAACCCTTATATAGATTTGTTGTGTTTGGCAGGTTAAGAAGGGGTTAAGTCTCCTTAACCCCTCACTTAACCTTTTGCCAAACGGTACCTCAAGGTTTACTGAGTAAGGGGTCATGTTACCCTATGGTTGTAGTGAATTACTTCTACGCGTACTCGTACTTTGCCAAAATGTAATACTATTTGATGAAAGCCCATTCAAAAGTTCAAACCTTTTAGTGTATGATCTCTGCAAACCATTTTATATCACATATATGTTTGGGTCCTTATATGAAATTCTTATTTCAATAATTTCTTATTCCTTCCATTTCTTTTCTTTCTGATCCCATATAGGTCCAAATGCCACAATTTTAGAGCTTGCAGACTCTATTCATGCCTCTCAAATGCAAGAAGATTCTGGTGACCAGCTATGGGAGGGTTCTTCTGTATCCCCAAGTTCTGATAATGATGACGACGATGTTGATGATGAGGTACAAGTTCAGATCCTTATATGGTGCTTGTTTCCATTTGAGGATGCAAGAATTGCAGAATTTTATTTCTTAATATAACAAGGTGAAGTCTAGTAGAAATTTTGGGCCGTATATTTTCAGCTAGCTTAAATTTTTTTCTTATATGACAAGGTTTGATGTGTGAAGAAAGAAATACATACCCCTTGTCCCTTTGGGCACATTGAAGGCGATTAAAATTGAATTGATTAAGAGAAACCGAACCAATTTGGGTTTTGTTTTGTTTTGTTTTGTGTGGTTATTGTCATGTTGTGGAAAAGTTTCAGCACTTCATTTGCTTCTGGTTTCTTTATTCTATGTTTTCTTTCATTAGCAGACAAGGGGAAACATTTCCTCTGTAAACCAAAGACCATTCTGAATTTTGATTAACTGCAGTTTGGCATGTAACATTATAAGCTTTCTGCCCTTGCAGGATTTTACATATAGTTTCCACAAGGAAAAAAAGAGTAGCGTCTCCGAATCTGCAAGAAAGAGCAAGAGAATCCGTGTATATGAGAGGGAGAAGGAAATGATGAAAAAATTAAGAACAAACTATGATGAAAATCTACCTCCTTTAGCCATCCCAAAGCCGATGATCGGCTTTGGCCTTCCACTCCAACAACCCCGAATCTCTCACCGCAAGTTTCCAGATGCAGCTATCGGTCCGCCATTCTTTTATTATGAAAATGTTGCTCCCGCTCCTAGAGGAGTTTGGGAGAGAATCTCTCGATTCTTATATGATATCGAGCCAGAGTTTGTCGATTCTAAATACTTTTGTGCTGCTTCCGAAAAAAGGGGGTACATCCACAATCTTCCTATAAACAACCGTTTTCCTCTCCTCCCAATACCTCCAAAAACAATTCATGAAGCTTTTCCTGCAACAAAGAAATGGTGGCCTTCATGGGACACCCGAACTCATCTAAATTGCCTTGAAACATGCACAGGGAAAGCAAAGCATACCGAAAAGATTCGTTTGTCTTTGTCTCAGTCTGATGACCCACCACCTGAGAGAGTCCAAAGATACATACTTGAGGAGTGCAATAAAGGGAACCTTGTATGGGTTGGACTCCACAAGGTTGTTCCTTTAGAACCAGATGAGATCGAGACATTGCTAGGGTTTCCAAGAAATCATACAAGAGGTATAAGCCGAACTGAAAGGTACAAGTCCTTAGGCAACGCATTTCAGATTGATATTGTAGCATTTCATCTCTCAGTGCTTAAAGAAATGTTTCCTGATGGAATCACTGTTCTGTCTATATTTTCGGGGATTGGGGGAGCTGAGGTGGCTCTTTACAGGCTTGGGATTCGTCTCAAGACTGTTGTTTCGGTTGAGGCATCCGAGATCAATAGGAATGTATTGAGAAGTTGGTGGGACCAAACAAACCAGAAGGGGACTTTAATCGAAATTTCCGATGTTCAGCAGTTGAATGGTGATCGTCTTGAGCATTTGATCCATACTTACGGTGGTTTTGATTTGGTTATTGGTCGGAGCCCTTGCGTCAATGTTACAGGCAGTGATCAATACAGTAGAGATGGACTGCATGGAAAGCATTCTGCCATGTTTTATGATTATTTTCGAATATTAGACCTTGTCAAATGTATAATGGAGAAGAACTAGAAGGGGGAAAAAATTCTGGGTACAAGATTTCTCAGCATTGAAATTTAGCTGCTCAGGTATTTGATACTTCCCCACTCTACAACTACTTGCTGTTAGTATAAGCTGCACGTCGTTATGTTCATTTGTGGTTTATTAGGATAACTGCATTTATTTCATAGTTGGCGTCATTATGTTCATTTGTGGCATATTTAGCATAACTGCATTTATTTCATAGTTGGCGTTCTAGGCTCTGCTCCTTATGATTATTTCGGGATTTCCTCTGACTTGGATTTAAATGCTGCAGGGAGATTGTACAACCGTATTAGTGCCATGGTGTTTGTGCTTTGCTGCTGAGGATGCTTCTTCAAGATTCAAGATGATGATTGCAATTTTCTGATGGAGTCAGCAAACATATGTCTTCCTTCACAAGCACACAGTGTGATTCACAATAATAGTTGGGGTTGAAACTGCCATGTGACTATATCTTGGCTGTGACGAGGCAGTTATATCTGCTCTTTAGGAATTGTTGGATGAGTGCATGCCAGAGGGTATTGCACTTGAGAGTTTGTTCGGCGTTTAATGACGCCAGCGTTGGCGTCATTAATGGATACCAAATTTGTAGAAGAGCTCGACATGCACTTGCTCATTCCTTCAGATGAATTCTAGATCGACCTGCAAACTTCAACTTGTCATCGCTTGCCTTCAAACGTGCAAACATGCTGGTATGTTGTAGAATTGGGTTCCCAGCATCATTTACTTGCTCTACGGATGCAACAGAAGAAAGTGCATTCTACATGCTATTCAGCAGCATTGGATACACGACGAAATGAATATGCATATGATATCCTGCTGCGGTCCTAACAATAATAAATCAGACTGCAGTGCGGCTAAACCATTGGAGATCTTCATTTCTTCAGTCGACATATTTAGCTTCTCGCTCACCGATTGGGAAAGGAAATTGATAATGGAAAGATCCATCTCGCTGTTGGTAACGGAGTACAAAACTTATCAGTATTGAGTCTTGAGATCTTAACTATTGTACTTTAATTAGTTCAAACCACCACCCGAATCATATTGGTAGTGTAGAAATGAACGGAGGGGCTGTTCGTTCATTTCTACCGAGTATTGTATTATTGGAAGTGTAGAAACGAACGGGGCTGTTGGTTACATATTTTTTCTTCGAACCTATAGAAAGATGCTTGCAGGGTAGAGAGATGGGCAAAGACGGAGGTCTTGGCGCGGGTATGAACATTTGACAAAAGAGCTGTATGCCCCTTGGCTAATTGCAATTGCAAAAGGGGTGGCATCCATCGAGTAACGATTCTATCGAGAAGAGACGATCTTTACCGTTCACCAGTGAATAGAGCCATTCACCGGTGAATAGAGGATTAGTTTAGAAGTTACAACTCTTCTATTTATATATTTGGGGCATGTTTGGCTATTTCCAAAAAAAAAAAAAACCGGAAATGGAAATGTTACTTTTGAAAATATTTCGAGATATTTCCAAGGTTTTTTTGTTGTTGTTTGTTTCGCAAAGAAAACTCCATTTTCGTTGCCAACTCACACAAACAAACAAAAAAAGCTTCCATAGTAACAGTGACTAGAGTTCTATTTCTTGTGTTTGTTTGAGAAAAAGAAAAAGAAAATGGGAAACCTCTTATTTAAATAATACGGTTTATTCTTCTGAACTATTCAAACAATTTTTTTTACTAATTAAAAATTCTCATATGAGATATTTTCAAGTATTTTCAGCCCATTTTATTGTGAAAACACATTTCTTGATACATTAAGGGGCTGTTTGTTTGCCTAAAAAAAGAGGGAAATCAAAGAAAAGGAAACATATTTTTAAGAAAAATAGGTTTTGGGATTGTTTGGTTGGCTAAAAAAAGAAGGAAATTAAAGAAATGGATATGAGATGAGATGAGTTGTCACCTTATTATAGGATGATGTGAGTGATTTTTTAAGAAAACTTGTTTTGATGTTGTTTGGTTGACGGAAAAAAAATAAGGAAATGAATTATAAGAAACCTATTTCTTGTAATAGGTTGTTTTCTTTTGTTTGGTTATTTATTAAAAATAAGAAAATAGATGAGATGAGATGAGATGAGTGGAGTGATGTTGTGGATGAAAATAATATTTTATTAGATGTGGTGGATGTGATGGATGAGTTGTTGGATGAAAATAATATTTTATTAGATGTGGTGGATGAGTTGTTGGATAAAAATAATATTTTATTAGATGTTGTGGGTGAGTTTTAAGGATGGAAATGTGTGAAATTGTATTTTTTAAGATTTCTTGGTTTTCATTTCTATTTTTAGGTTTTTTAGGAAATAACCAAACATGCCCTAAAGAGGCATCCTATGTGGCAGTCCATTTCTCAAAATTTAAAAACGAAACAAACATATGAAATGGAAAAATGTCTTGAAAACAAAAACTCATGTGTCACATTGGGGTTTTCTTGAAAGTTTAAGTGACAACACATTCCCTCTTTTTTTTAAGCAGACAAACATGCCCTTATAGTGTGTGTAGCACGAGCCGAGACGAGGCATAAGTTGATGGGAGGAAAGCAAAGGTTCACACGTGAGCGTCGCTGGTTAAAGCCCAAACATAAGACGACCTCCGCTTCACGGGAGCGCGCAGCTACCACGCTCGTTTGCGCTGTTATTTTCACTCCCTCGATGGAAAATCTTGTACATTTTATGATTCAGTTTCATTTTATTAGGTGAATCCATTCTATAATCCCTTTCTAATTTCTGCTTCCAACAATGTTCACAAGCTCACTGCTCAAAACAGAAAAGGGCAACACCCATCATTGATTTCTAGCTATTAAAGCTCTCGAACTTGTTGTGTCTTTTAATCTATAGCTGCCTTGAATAAATTTTGGAATCACAAAATTAATCGAAGAATCTTGACGCTACGTTAAACGGTAACCTTATTTGTAACCCTAACAATAAAGCGGAGTGGAAATATCAGGACAGAGAAATACCAGACAAAGCGACTTTGTTGCCGATGACACGTTCCGCTCGGGTCCAGACACGTGTCATGGAAAAAGCTACTCCCACTCTAATTATTAGTTTTTTTTAGGCACTTCGAAACGTGACCGCCCCTCGCGACTCGGCAGAGCTTGCCTTTTCCAAAATGAGCGCACGATAGTTGTCGACGAAATTGCACTGGCTAAATTACCAAATTGGCATTTTTAGTGGGACCCTTTTTGCTAGTATGATATTTTTTCTCCTTTCACTTCATTGAAAACAATACCAGTCTTATCTGCTAAATATACCAATTTAATTATTTTTTCTATTTCCTATGTAAAATAATAGCAAATTGATGCCAAATGTTGATATTAATAACATAACATCACAAGTAAAAGGAGGAAAAAATAAAATAAAAAAACCATATCAAAAATATGATCATCCTGAACATGTCAATCTAGTAATTTAACTATTTCAACATTGACTATATTGTTTTTAGCCAAGCAAAAATTCATAGAAATAATTCACGTTGCAAAATAATACCTACTTTTTCGTAGCTATTTTTATACATCAAACGTAATCTAACTAACTAAACATAAGTCGTAAATACAAAAAGATAGAAAGATGCCCAACTTTTAGAAAAATCATCTTACTTCCATTTAAAATTAATTCTAATCTAATTGCTTAAATCTCTGAAAAACCATCTCACAAATTATTTCATTTTTAGTTTCGTCTTCTATTTGAGTAAAACCTCTTCACCAGTTTAAAAAAGAATAATTTTTCAAAACAGCCCCCTTTTATTTTTTTATTTTTAAAATCGACCGATTTTTTTTATTTACCAAAACCGATCCGTTGTTTGCCACCCCAGCGTAATCACCGTCCTAAACAGTCGGGGCTGGCAACCCCGACTATTTAGGACATAAAAATTTAGGGTTTAAGGTTTCTAATTGGGGTTTAACACCCTCTTAAATAGTCGGGATAGGCAACCCCGACTGTTTAGGACGGTGATTAGACTGACGTGGCAAAAAACAGGTCGGTTTTGATAAAAAAAAAATGGTCGATTTTAAAAATAAAAAAAATGGAAAGGGGCTGTTTTGAAAAATTGTTCGTTTAAAAATTTTGCGGAGGACTTATCCGCAAAACATCCCCTCTCTCCTCTCTCTCTCCTCTCCTTTTTCCCGTCTCGCTCTTTTCCAGAGGAGAGAGCTTCACTCCCCACTCACTTCACTCACTTCAAAAAAACACCCCCAAACCAAACCCTAGATCTCTCCCTCTCCCTCCAAACCCTAACCCTAACCCTAGATCTCTGCTCCCCTCACCAATGTCTTCTCTCTTCTTCCTCTGTCTCCTCATTCTCTCCTTCTCAGTCTCCCGATCCCACTCCCTCACCCTCTCCTCTCGCCTCATCCACCGCTTCTCCGACGAGGCCCGCTCGCGTCGGCCGGCGCGCCTCCGGCATTCAGGCCGCGGCGATGCCCGCTCGCCGGAGCTCCGACTACTACAAGCTTCTGACCAAGAGCGACCTCCAGAGGCAGAAGAAAAGGATCGGCAATGTCAAGTACTCGAACCTGTTTCCAGCCGAAGGAAGCGAGGCGTTCTCTCTAGGAAACGATTTCGGATGGTAAGGTTTTGAATTATTGATGAAATTTATTTGTGTTTATGCTTGATTTTTGAAATGTAGGTTGTGTTTAGGTTTGGAAACAAACTACTTTTAACGTGAAAGAAGTATCTTGAAGCTTGTTTTTATTTGGAGATAAATCAGGATGAGTGGCGTTGGTCAGTTTATGACTTTTGTGGTATTTACAGCCGCTGATATGTTCTTTGGCATGGATAAGAACTGTTTGAGGCCGGTTTAGAATATAAAACTATAACCTCCGATCCTCATCAAAACTTCCGATTTATAGCAATCCACTTTCAAATCCCACTGGCCACCCATATAAAAACTGGATTTGAAGTAAAAAAGATACCCTTGCGTGAGTCAAGATTTTGGCCCATAAAAGGTACGTCAATTGTGATGGGCATGTTAGGATATAAAACTGTAACACTCTAAACCTTAAAACATCGTAGTTTTGGTGCGGTGGAAGGGTCCTTTGACAGTCTGCTATTAATATTAGTGCTTTGGCAGGATTAAGGACTACTTAGTTTGTTTGTTCTTTGATTTTGCAAGGTAAGTCTGGGTATAAGCTTATTCCTGTATATCCTCCACATGGAAATGTAGTTTAAGCAAAATAAATTTGGGCAGCTCCTATTGGCCGTGACTGGAAGCTGAAATATATGGACTTTTCCTTCAACTTTCCACCAAATTTTTAAATAATTGTGTAAAAGAGTTGAAAGTACCATCTCAAAAGTTGGGCAATGTTTGACCTACTACGAAAACTACATACTATTCAGGGAAGCAATTCGTGAAGGAATATAGCTCTACCTTGCGTCCTTAATCAGCATCACGGGAGAGTCTTTGACAAAGCTTCTGGAGGGTTCTCTGGCAGAAGGTATCTAGGTGATGCTTCTTAGATTGGAACTTAAAACAACACACTGAATAAAAATCACAATCCGCTAACTATTGAATCTTTTGTACGGGTTAATTTTGTGCAATTCATCTTTGTAAATGCTTTCAATGGTGTTAGCTTTTTATTTGCAAAGAATGAAGGACTACAAGCTATTTAGTCCATAAATTTTATGGTAACTAAGTATTCGATATAAACTGTTTAAATGGTATAATTGGTCATGCATCATTGATAGAAATTTTATTTTGTTTCGGCACAAATTAGTGATGTCAAATTTGGTTATTCATCTCAAAGCTAATAAATAACATTCCATGTCGGGCCACATATTTGGTGAAACATCACATGTTGGGGATTTTACTTCCTTGAAGAAAATAGGAAAAGATCACTGATTTTGCGGGAAGTAACAACTTTCTTTATTGATCAAGAAAGCCTACACCCTCAACGCAAGCCCTTTTAAGGGGTCCACCCCCTTTCCTTTCCAAGCTCTACGAATCTAAATCTGCCTCCTTTAACTTGGTTTACAACAATAGAAAACATTATACAGAGAAACCAAGCAAAACCCTATCTCTAGCCTGACTTTCGCAGTTTGAAATAATAATAATTCCTTATCACGACGAATCTCGATTTCCTAATCATGATAAGGGTGGTTTCTCAATTACTATTAAGAAAGTATACCCTTTAGTTATTTGCAACGTAATCCATTTCATATATTGTTGTTTTGCCTTTGTCTGAAAGATAAATATGAGAGTATTAGATTCCGTTGTACGCATTTTATTTGGTAATTTTCTGGATGTTAAATACCAATTGTGGGTCACTTTTTATTGGCTTTGGAAACACATCACATTATGGCAGACAATAGATGGCCTTTAAGCCATTTATCGGTCACTGACTTTAGATCAAAAGAGTACACTTCCTTTAAACTGGTCAAACAGTCTATCAGGCGAGTCTGATTGAGTGTGCCATCAGTTGGGAGATGGTATCCCTATCAACCACTTGTGGCACGGAGCCAACAACCTTTGTTTGATGTAATTTCTTATACCAGAAAAAGCCTTCCTGGGGCTAGCAGCTAATGCTTTCAACATGGAAAGGATAAAAAAGATTCGTATTTCACGCATCCTCAGGGTCAAGATTTGTCGTCAAACCCACCAACTCAAGATGTTTGGAGAAATGGTTGGAAATGCAGCCGGCTAGAGAAAGGGTTGGCCAAGAACAAGGCGATTGGGATCAACTATGGCGCAGCAGCTACAGTTGGGAATCAATGGATTTGGAAGCAGTGTCTTGACCTGATCGGTAAGTCAATCGGTTCGAGAAGTGGTAGAGTACCTGTTGTCGATCAAGGGCTGTCTTACCTCAAGGAGTCGACATAGGAGGAGGTGTTTTACCTATCACGGAAGGGAATTGATCTATTAACAGGCCTTGCATTGCAACTGGGAATTTACGTAAATCCCTTCTTTGAGTCGCAAATTGATACCTATCAGAATTTTTCTTTCATTCTGGAGACTTCGAAACCGGAAGTTGTGAAGCAAAGAATAAAAGGCAGTTAACGAGCCGTAAGCGAGCGAGGAAGATAACCCTAACTTTTGTTGGGTGAGTTTGGGCTGTGCAATTTCTAAAACATGGCGACACGTGCCTTCTTAAGGCATTGACTGTTTCTAGGTCAGTCCCTATTTTTCTCGCATTATCTGGGCTAAGGATTTGGATACTCATGGGTTCTTGCTACTGTAAATTGGACTGGAAAATCTTTGTCATTTCTTTTCTGAAGTTGTATTGGTTTTCTATCCTGGTCCTTAGGTGTCTCATTTTAGCAAACTAGGCTTGAACTATAATGAGGCCGTGTACAGATTGTTCTCGACAACAACGGTGGATTATAAATACAATATCAATAAATAATGCCCCAACTTGTGCTCCTAAAGGAAAATGTATATTCGGGTTCCATAGAATTAAAGGTGTTCATAATGGAAAGCCAGATTCCAATTTTTTAACACCTCTCTTAGTGAGGGACTCTTCTTCCTAAGTTTGAACAGTTAGTCTTAGGTATTAGGTACGCGCATGACACCTAAATCATTAATGGTTGAAGGTAAATTTCAGCTAAGAAAGCTCTGTGTATATTGGAAACAAAACTAGAAACATGGGGGATTTTATAATACTTGATCAAAAGGTCGATATGCTTTATCTGTGGAGCAGTTTTTTTTTGCTTGTTTACCTTTCACTCTTTCGGTAAAGTTTTTTTCCACTTCCTCTGATGAACTCAGAACTTTATTTTCTTAGATCAATGCAAGCGATTATATACATGATTGCTGCTATTTGTTTTCAGATTTTTTGTATAACTTGTTTTTTTTATGGCAGGTTACATTACACATGGATTGACATTGGGACACCAAATGTTTCTTTTCTTGTGGCATTGGATGCTGGGAGTGACTTGTTATGGGTACCATGTGATTGCATACAATGCGCTCCTCTATCTGGCTATCATGGTAGTTTGGTAGGGCAGCTGTCTCCTCTCATTGCCATACCCCTCACAGCTGTGTTTTTTATATCACTATAGCATCCTTTGTGTTACTGTCTTGCAATGTGAAGTTCATGCTTCACCATTATGAACCTCCTGATCTACTTGTCATACGTTCACACATACAGGGGCAAGATATCTCAGTGGCAGGAACATGCTATGCATGCATACAAATTCATGGATGGATATATACATGCATGTTTATGTGTATGAGGCTGATAGAAGGTTTTCGTGCAGGCACCCGCATGCAGCATGCCTGTTCATACAAATTCTCTGAGCTTTAAAGCTTCAACAATCCATTGAATTTATTCTTGATGCTTGAAGCGGTTGTGTTATGACCTTGTTCAGCTTTTTACTAAAAGATAACTTGCATCTTAATACCAATTGCTTAAATTGGTAAATAAGAATATTACCACAACAATCAAGAAGTCTGAAGATTGGTTGAAGAAACCACTACCTTCAATATAAAGCAAAATCTTGCAACATTATCTTATGTTATTTTCATCAAATGGAATCAGAAAAGAACTTCTGAAACTATTCTCTTTTTGCACTTGATGGTGTGTCAAGTCATATATGCTGAATGTTGTTTACATTACTGATTTTTCCAAATGTCTTCTATAATTTACCCGTGTAGATATATTAACTAAACTCCCACTTTTAGATAAATTTGTCATATTTTCTAAACTTACCATCGGTAGCCACCTATTATAATTGAATATGTAACCTCCTAAGAAACTAATATTCACTGTTAAGAAGCCTGGATGTGGATAGGCAACATGTATGCAACAACCACATGAATGCAACACATGCATGAACAAGGCATGACAATTGCTTATAAAATAGGAGATACGAAAACCGGGAGTGACAAAAATTGCATAGATGAACAGAATCATGTGCACATACAATCGCTACCATATATACTTTGTAAAGAACGAAAACAAACATGCTTCCAACTTTTAATAAGGAATAGCCTTTAAACTTTGTTCTATACTATACAATAACTTATCTCAATGTTTATGTAATGACATTGGACTTGCTGTTTGTAACGAACAAAAGCCCTATATGCATCATAGAAGCAGCTTTCTTTCCTGTCAGAAGCACTAGTGAGGAAATCTTTTTTAGGCTTCTTATTATATTCTGCGAGTCCGAAATCTTTTTTGAGGCTTCTATCTACAGTCTGCTTTTATTTGTTCATTCATTTATTGACTGAAAAACAAATATAATCTAGATGATCAGTTTTTTTTGCCTTCTCCCATTGCCATCACATGGATCCCTAAAGTGGGTATCGAGCCTAAATTATTGTTTTCTGAATAATGATAACTACACTACTCTCTCCTAGGCTACTTTTACACTATAAGAGAGAAGTGTGGGCTCCATTGATGAGTCATCAATTTTAAAAAAGTTGAAGAGAATGGACTACACTTTTCTCTTTTGTAGTGTAGAAGTAGTGTAGTTATCACTACTCTTATTTTCTACATGCTGAAGCCTGAATCAATGCACCACAACTTTAGTACTCTTAAATGTCCTCTTAGGCAGTTGGAAGGTGGTAGCAACTCGGTTTATCTCTACTTAAGTGGACAGGTATTCTCACCCTATTATTCATTAATTGCACACCATAATGAGTGTATATTTAACTATAATATGGATGACATTGACAAAGTAATCCTCATCACCATTATTATTATGAATACAAACTATCTATAGCCCCCTATGGAAGGTGTTAGTATACACTATAATATAGATTATCAACCCCCACCCCCCACCCCCCACCCAAAAAAATAAATAAGGTTCTTGTCTGTCACCACCAGTGAATCACTTATCTTCCACCATCACTGGAACACCTATAGCACCACTTTGGATACTTTCGCCCTAGACAGTCTAATACAAAATTTTAGAATCCTTTTCTTTCGTTTTTATATACATGGTCCAACCCATAGGAATCAATAGAAAAGGCAAACCTCTTATGATACACCTCATCCGGCTCGGTTATTGATAAGTGAATAGATCTGCCTCCATTGCTTTTATTTTTATTTTTATTTTCTTGTGTTTGTCTTTTCTAGACTTGTACACTAGCTGTATATTTTATGGTCATTTCTTGTGTAACTTGCTTTTAAAACAATTATAGAATAATTTCTCCATGATTCCCATCTTTTACCTAAACTTATGCTGTTATTATTATTGAAAATGAGGAAAGAGTTCTGACTGACAACCTTAGGGGAGCACAAGCACAAAGCAACTAACTTATTTGGTTGCTCTGACTTTTATTCACTTAGATCGTTAACAAACTTGCAGTTTGTTCTCTGTTGGTTAAATTTATAGACTAGGTTGTAGATAGTTGAGTACATCGACATATAACATGAAGCCCATTAACCTTTATTATAATAATTTTGAGTTTACATGAGCAAAGTTTGGCTGCTGTATAGTAACCTTTTTCAGGTTATCTAGTTCGAAGAATTAATTCTTATACTAGCTTATAGTCAGAAAGAGTAGCCCTAAGAGGCAAATGCTTACTGCTTCTAGACGTGTTTTGTACATTAGATGATCACAGAACTTTTGCTTTATAATTCTCTCTGATTTTTCTTTCCATTCAGTATAAAAAGGGAGGCCAATTTGCTATCATTTCTCAGCAGTTTTAGCACTTATTTCAGATGATTGATTGGCAGGTGCTCCCTGGTGTTTGGGGCATCTATTATGCAGGATAAAGATCTTGGCACGTATAACCCAGCGGAATCAAAAACCAGCAGGCATCTCCCTTGCAGCCATGAGCTGTGTGATTTGGGCACTAGCTGCAAAAATCCAAAGCAGTCGTGCCCATATACTCTCAACTACTATTCAGAAAATACTTCCAGTTCTGGATTGCTGGTGGAGGATATGTTGCACTTAGCGACGAATGGGGAGCATTCATCAGTCCACGCCCTGGTTATTGTCGGGTATGTTCAAATCTCCTGGGGTATTTTCTTTTTTCTTTTTCTGGAGCAAAGACCACGGCCCAGACTTGAACTTAGGTCCTACAATAACCAAACCCCATGCTGATTTGATGCGTGATTTTAGGACTATTACTCTGTTTTGTTTTCCCGCTTTAGGGCTACATTTAATTTTTTTGTTAAGATTATGTAGCTCTTTAAATGCAGCTGTGGTAGGAGGCAGAGTGGTGGATACTTAGATGGAATTGCTCCTGATGGTCTTCTTGGTCTAGGATTTGGAAACATTTCAGTTCCAAGCATCTTAGCAAGATCTGGATTGGTGCATAATTCTTTTTCAATGTGTTTCAAAGATGATGATTCTGGGAGAATTTTCTTTGGAGACCTAGGTGTCTCAGCCCAGCAATCTACTCCATTTGTCCCTTGGGAAGGGAAATAGTAAGTTGTTCATGGAAATTTTGACTGACTGTTATTTTTGTTCTGGTTCTGTTTCAGTTGTTAAGTACAAATGTTGAAACTTTTCTTATGAATTTTTTCTTCTTCTGATTTTTCATGTGATACTCATGGATTTTGTTCATGTTTTATTTTGAATGATGTCTGTTACAATCAACTCTTCTGAATCAGAGAAACATCTAGTATCTTTTTATTGATAAGTTTTTCTATTTTTGTGCCATTTAAAATTGTTGACACAGAAGAGTTGTATATGATTTTCCAAACATTTGCCTTCTGTGACTTCTTTCTCTTTGTTTGACTGGTGATTCATTAATTTTCCGAGCTTTTTACCTTTTATGCCATTTAAGAGTGGTATAAGATTTTCCAAACCTTTTGCCTTCAATGACTTCTTTCTTCCTATGAATTTTAACTAGAAATTTGATGGTATAGAGTTGTAAACATCAGGTAATATCATCTTGATATCTAGATTATTATTGTCTCATAAGAATTATATGTGAAGTATTATCTATCAGTCTATCTGTGTGTATAGATAGGTCATTAATATTTTATGTATTTGTATGCGCGCATGTATGTAATGCATATGCATGCATGCATATACACGTTTATATTAGTGAATAGATAGACAGGAGAGAGAAAGGGAAAGGAGTTGCATCCATTATTCTTACGTGTGCATGCGTGCATGCGTGTCATTATTTAGTCTTTTAAGATAGTAGTGTAAGATATGGAGTCAATTTTCCTTTACATGCTATCGTTCATTAACAATATTTCCTTTGTCTCAGTCGTACCTATATTGTTGAGGTGGAAAGTTTTTGTGTCAAAGATCGGTGTCCCAGGAAAACTGCCTTTCAAGCACTGGTTGACAGTGGTTCATCATTCTCTTATCTTCCTGAAGATATCTACAACAAAGTTACTGTTGAGGTAAGGTTGGTTTGCTAAAGCATTTGTAGCATGCCATGGTCCATGTTAAGTTAAATATTGGGTATTGGGTTAATGGGCTGTTACCCGTTAACCTTAACCCTATTTGTATGGCTATATATATCTCTCTTGTTATTCTCAATAAACAACAATTAGGGTTTTCTCTATTCTCTACATGGTATCAGAGCATGAAACCCTAGCCGTCACAAATCTTCATTCAAAAATCCCTAGCCGCCGCCTGCTGCTACAGTACCGCCGCCTGTTGCTACAGTACCGTTGCTGCTACAGTATCGCCGTCGCTATAGTGTCGTGCTACAGTGCCCCCCTACACCGTGTTGCCTATTCCCTCGACATCTCAGTCTTCGAACTGATGAGAGGACGATTGTATCCCTCAACATTTCAGTCATAGAACTGATGAGAGAAAGCCTCGACATTTCAGTCATAGAACTGATGAGAGGAAGAGTATCTATCTCACGTTGTTGAGATATTTCACTTTTATTCTTGTTTCCTTCGAGAAACAAGAATATAGAAATTGAGCCTTTGTGCAAATAAAAGCCAGGGCTCTCTCCCTCAGGTGATCTCGCCTACGCAACGTGAGGGTATAGCTATCTACCACTTTGCCTCTAATACTGCTCCTGATCTGCTCTTAGTTTATGTTTCGAAAACTGATCTCCACTACTAATCTGCCTATTTGACTACTATTTGTCTCCTATTGTTGCTCAAAAATAAAAAATGACTACTACTTCGATGTCGGACATCTCCTCCTCTACTACTACTTCTATTGTTGCTGGTGAGACCTCTACGCCCAAGGTAGTCTTGGGGACTACTATTAAATTGAATGGTGCAAACTATCTGCTCTGGGCACAAGCTTTCCGCATCTTCATTAACGCTCAGAGCAAACTATTACATCTTCTTGCATCACCACCAATCTCAGATCCCACCTACAATTCATGGCTCTCATCTGATTATTGTGTTATGACTTGGCTTCTCAACAGTATGGAAGCACATATCAGTAGCAGCGTTATGTTTTTAACCACTGCGAAGGAGATGTGGGACAGCCTAAAGATTATGTACGGGAACGAGAAGAATGTTTCTCGCGTATTTGAAATTTATGAACGACTGTTTGCGCTCAAACAGGGAGATAAGTTAGTTCCGGAATTCTTTGGTGAATTAAAGGGACTGATAGACGAACTAGAGATGCATCAGCCTGCGTAGCTGATGCAGCGACGCTATTAGGGTATCGTCGTGATCTGGCAGTATCCAAATTTCTTTCTGGGTTGAATCCTAATTTACAGTCCCAGGTGAGAGGACAGATATTAGGTGGAGATATAATTTCCTCACTGACTGTTACATTCTCCAGAGTCATGCAGGTCTCTACTGGTGTTACTTCTGATACTACTACACCATCTCCACCCACGATGGATCAGTCTGTCATGTTCTCTAATCGAGGCAAAGGCCGCGGTCGTGGTCGTGGCCGTGATTCAGGGGGAGGACGTGGTTCCTTTGGTGGGAGGCAAGGTGAATCTGATAAGGGCTCACGATAGTGTGGTCATTGTGGGAGAACCAATCATATTTTTAAGAAGTGTTGGGAGAAGTTTGGTCGTCATCAGTGGGCCCAGGTAGCTGATACAGAGTCGACTAACTCATCTATTTCTACTACTACTTCTGGTGGTCCAGCTGTTACTGCTCCTACTGTTCAGATTTCTCAGGCAGATTATGAGAGGTTGCGCCAACTAGAACTCTCTCAGAATATTCATTCTGCTACTCATGCATCCTCTTCAGGTATGGATGCTTACATAGCTTCTTCTCACAAACCTTGGGTACTAAATTCTGGAGCCTCATCTCATATGACAGGTATAAAGGATCACTTTGTATCTTTACATCTTTCTGATAAGTTTCCTTCTATCCGCATTGCTGATGATACTCTTTCTTCAGTTTGTGGTGATGGAGTAGTTCATGCTACTTCCTCTTTAAAACTAACTGATGTGTTATATGTTCCCAAATTTCTTGTTAGCCTATTATCCATTAGCAAGTTTACAAAACAAAATAATTGTAAAGTTACCTTCTTTCCATCTTATTGTGTTTTTTAGGACCTAGCAACTGGGATGAAGATTGGTTCGGGGCATGAGAGAGGAGGTATGTACTATTTGGACGACAGTGTGCCAGAAGCTGGCCTTGTTGCATCACAGTCTGACTCCACTTTATTGTGGCACTGGCGTCTGGGTCATCCTTCACTACAAAAACTTAGATCGGTAGTTTCTGTTCAGCCATCTATTTCCTCTTTAGGTTGTGAGTCGTGTGAACTGGGTAATCACCATCGTGCTACTTTTCAGAGTCGAGTCGATAAACGTAGTAGTTTTGCTTTTGAGTTGGTTCATTCCGATGTCTGGGGTCCTTATCGTGTTCCCTCTGTACAAGGTTTTCGATATTTTATTATCTTTGTTAATGATTTCTCTCGCATGACGTGACTTTATCTGTTAAAAGAGAGGTAAGAGGTCTCGCACGTTATTGAACTCTTTTATAATGAAATAAAAACTCAGTTCTCTACTTCTGTTCGTATTCTTCGTACTGATAATGCTTTGGAATATATGAAAAGTGATGTTTCAAAATTTTGTGCTCTTAATGGCATTATTCATCAGACTTCTTGCTCTCACACTTCACAACAAAATGGAGTTCCTGAGAGGAAGCATAGGCATATTCTAGATGTTGCTAGAACACTAATGATACATATGAATATTCCAAAGTATTTGTGGTCTGATGCTGTTCTCACTGTAAATTATTTGATTAATCGCATGCCTTCCTCTGTCCTTGATGGTTTAATACCATTCAATTGTCTTTATCCTGATAAAAAACAATTCTCTGTGATTCCCCGTGTCTTTGGTTCTACGTGTTTTGTTTAGGATTTAACTGCTGGTTTGGATAAGTTGTCATCTAGACTCATCAAATGTGTTTTTGTTGGATACTCTCGTACTCAAAAAAGGATATAGGTGTTATCATTCGTCTACCAGGAAATATTTTGTGTCTGCTGATGTTACCTTTTTTGAGTATGTCCCATATTTTTCTTCTGGTTCCACTACTATTGGCTGTCTACATGTATCACTACCTTCTTCTGCTCCTACTACTATTCCATTACCTGCTCCTGTTGCTCCTGCACCGAAGCCTCTACTGACATACTCTCGCCGCCCAAAAGTACATGCCCCCGGTCTATCTCATATTGAGATCTCTATTCCTTCTGACTTGGATATCCCTATTGCTCTTCGAAAAGGTAAACGGTCTTGCCCGAAATATCCTATATCTCTTTTTGTCTCTTATGACCGTCTCAACCCATCTTTTCGTCAGTTTGCCTTGTCCTTGTCCACTGTATCTATACCTAGGTCATATGAGGAAGCTATGTTAGTACCAGCTTAGAAGCAGACTATGAATGAGGAAATGAATACACTACTTTCTAGAGGGACTTGGGACTTGGTTTCTCTTCCTACTAGAGCGACTGTGGTTGGTTGCAGATGGGTGTATACCCTAAAATATCACCCCAAATCCAATGGGTCTGTTGACCGTTATAAAGCTTGCTTGGTTGTGAAAGGCTATACCCAGACATATGGCGTCGACTATTTTAAAACCTTTTCTCCCGTTGCTCGTCTCAACTCCATCAGAATTCTTTTCTCTCTGGCTGTTAATATGGATTGGGCGATGCACCAACTAGATGTGAAGAATGCTTTCCTTTATGATGATTTGGACGAGGAGGTTTATATGGAGCAACCTCCTGGGTATGTTGCTCAGGAGGAGAATATTATCTGCAGGCTAAGAAAGGCCATCTATAGGTTAAAGCAGAGTCCTCGAGCTTGGTTTGATAAGTTCAGCAAGGTTATTTCTAATGTTGGTTTCCAACGTTATCAGTCTGATCACTCTGTCTTTCTTCGACGCAGAACAACTGGTTTGGTTATTTTAGCCGTATATGTTGATGATATTCTGCTGACTGGGAGTGACTCTATTGCCTTAACTGAGACTAAGGAGTATCTAAATCGTCATTTTATCACTAAGGACATGAGAAAGCCAAAATATTTTCTTGGGATTGAAGTTGCATATCAAAAACATGACCTGTTGTTGTCCCAAAGGAAGTATGTGTTAGATTTACTAGAAGAAGTAGGTCTCTTGGAATGCAAACCTGCAAGCACTCCAATGGAGGTAAATGTTGATTTGTGGCGTGATGATACCTCTCTCCTAGATGATGCTGGACGATATAGGAGACTAATTGGGAAGCTAATATATTTGACAGTTACCAGACCTGATATTACTTTTGCAGTAGGTGTATTGAGCATGTTTATGCACAAACCTAGAGAGGTTCATTGGACAGCAGCTCTGAAGATTTTGGCATATGTCAAGAGTTGCCCTGGCAAAGGATTGTTATATAAGAAGCATGTGCATACTCACATTTCGGCTTTCTCTGATGCTGGCTACGCAGGAGACATGGGAGATCGGAAGTCAACCTCAGGATTTTGTATTTTTGTTGGAGGTAATCTTGTGACTTGGAGAAGCAAGAAACAAGATGAGTATCACGATCTAGTGCAGAGGTCGAATATAGAGCAATGGCTCACACTGCTTGTGAGATGGTGTGGCTAAGAAAGTTTATGACAGAGCTTGGTTTTGTTCAGCCTGGACCCATGCCAATGCATTGTGACAACCAGTCTGTCATTTATATTGCACAGAATCCTGTGTTTCATGAGAGGACAAAACATATCGAAGTTGGCTGTAATTTTGTCAGAGATGCTTGGGAGAAGAAGATAGTATCTCCACTGTTTTAAAAAACCTCCGCCTAGTCCGCTTAGGCGTACGCCTAGGCCTAGACGGTACCTAGGCCGTTAAAAAACCTCCGCCTAGTCCGCTTAGGCGTACGCCTAGGCCTAGACGGTACCTAGGCCGCCTAACTAACGCCTAGCGCCTAGGCGGTATTTAGGCTGCCCACCTAGATATTACGAGGGTTTAGGTGAGCATTGTCTGCTTACGTGGATTGCACCCTGTAGGCCTTGATTGTGATTTTATGTGTCGTAGCTTACACGTCCTCCAAATTTCATTAACCTCCAAATATGAACACCTCCACTACCTCCTCCGACCTTCAGCAAAACCTCATCAACCACCACTTAAATGAAGAAAGAAAAAAAAAACGCTCAGAAACCGCTTAGGCGCCCGCCTAGGCGACTAAGCGTTGGGCGCCAAGTCCGACGCCTAGAAGCGTCCAACGTTTAATGTAACATTGAGTATCTCTCATATTCACTCCGTCCTCACAATAACTTGCTGATATTCTTACCAAGGCTACTTCTTCAAAGGTGTTCTCTACTATATGTGACAAGCTAGGCATGGTAGACATCTATGCTCCAGCTTGAGGGGGAGTGTTAAGTTAAATATTGGGTATTGGGTTAATGGGTTGTTACCCGTTAACCTTAACCCTATTTGTATGGCTATATATATCTCTCTTGTTATTCTCAATACAACAATTAGGGTTTTCTCTATTCTCTACAGTCCATATAGTAACTGTCTTCAGAACTTTTAGTTTGACAGGCAAATAAATGCTTCAAGGTTTGTCTATGACAGCGCTGACTGGGAGTACTGTTATAAAGCCAGGTAAATATCCCATGCAATTAGGTTAAACTTCATTCTTTGTTTAGTCATATTTTTTTCAATTGTTTAATCTGTTTGTGATAACAGCCCACTGAAGATGCCTGCAGTGCCAACTTTGACATTAATGTTAGCCGTGAACAAGAGTTTTGTGGTCACCAATCCCGTCTTTCTGGTCTATGGTAAAGAGGTGTGTATTAAAAATGATACTCATTATTTTAAAGGATAATCTTTCGACGCTACGGATGATGACTGAAGGGACATAATGTGATGATTTAAGGGTCTTCGCCTAACATGGAGACTATTGTTCTTATCATATCATTCATGACAGTTTTTTTTACCAAATAATTTTGATGACTTGGAGGAAGATTATGGAGACCATCTATGGCGGCTCTTGATATATAGCTGCTATTCTATATTTCTTTTAGCCATTTTTTCAAGAACTACACAAGTATACCTAGGTCATCTCATTCTATGTTACCCGGGTACTTCTATAGTGAATCCATACCCGTAGCCAACACATACCCGACACTTATCCGTACCCAAACTTCATGGATGCTCCTTGGATGTATGCATTTACCCAGACATGTACTCACTTATACGATGTATGTTTTAATTTAAAATACTTGTCATACACTTATTGGATCTATATCCTACTCTTCATGTCTATTTTCTGAAACTCGTTAGACATGGGTCTGGTTGTTTCGGCCTATATTCAAGTTAAAAACTATGATTTAGAAATGTGGTTTAAGTGTCTAGTTAAAAAATGAGCACTTTCCAATTTATAATAATCAACATGATAAAAGATAATAGATACTTTGATAGGAAATTAATCTCAAATATCACATGAATTGAAAAGTAATAATGATCTCATGTAAATTGTTAATTTCGACACACACACACGCACGCACACACACACGTGTGTGTATAGCCATGTCCATGTACCCTACATTTCACAAATTTGATGTGTCCCATACCCGTACTCTCACCTGTACAGGTACCCGTGCCCGTTTCCATGCAACTTAGTCTCATTGTCAATGGATAGTCTATATAGAATATTCAGCTAGTTGGAATTATGATTTTAAAAGTGTAGACTATGCTTGGTATCCACAATTTCCAATATTTAGGCACTAAAATGGCCAGTAATAATCTATATTTTACGTGCAATTGCATATTTAATACCAATGTTGCGCGCACACAATTTACCTTGTAGCCACTTTTTCAATTGATGTTCATGTTTGAATATCTTCTGAAACACATGAAGTATGTTGCTAGAGAACTAACCCCTTAAGAAAGGGAATTGATAAAACCAAGACCGACATTAACTTCTGATGCTGCACAAAAAAAAAAAAAAAAAAAAAGTTTGATAAAACCAAGACCGACATTAACTTCTGATGCTGCACAAAAAAAAAAAAAAAAAAACAGTTAACATCAAACTTTATAAGTTCTACTTGATCGCTTTCTTCTTATTGATGGAAAGTCCAGTGTTCATCAAAATCCATCTCTCTCGTATCTGTTTTTAATGGATTGAACTCTAATCCTCTTGCAAGACACTGAAAAAAGAGGATAAGCTCAGCAGTATAAGGGAATTATTTATTTGAGTGTAAAAGGTTCTGAATTGTGCATATGCATGTTATGCAGGAGGAGATTGTTGGTTTTTGTTTAGCTCTACAATCTTCGCAAGAAAGTCTGGGGACCATTGGACGTGAGCAATTACTCAATCTTTTTTCTATATTCACCAAATTTTCCATTTTCTTTTCTGTTGCTCACTTGTATTCTCTTTCAAACTGAGTCATACATGCATATGCAGAAAATCTTATGACAGGATATCGGATAGTTTTTGACAGAGAGGATTTGAAGCTTGGGTGGTCACGTTCTAATTGTAAGACATTTCTCCTCCAAGTATTATGAGACTTTTAAAAAAACTTTGTTTTCATGTTATCCCTTAGTTTATGTTTGTATACTCAAGTATAAAGAGTTAATGACATGTTCTGATCTGTTGATAGGTCGAGATCTTGATGATAGTAGCACAGTTCCTTTGACTCCACCAGCACAAAGCAGCACTGAGAATCCATTGCCGACAAATGAGCAGCAGAGCTCTCCTAATGCCCGTGCAGTTTCTCCAGCTGTTGCTGGAAGGGCACCCACTAACATTCCATCAGCTGCAGCTCTTCATGTGGTTAACTGGTTGTCTTTCTCCTTGTTGCTACTGGCTCATCTTACGGTTATTTTAATTGGGTAGGACAGTTTTTATGGTTATATTATATACTTCATTATATATAGTGCTGTAAATTTGAGGTTTTCTGGCAGCCTTTCCTGTATCCAATGTGGGTTTTTTATGTCATTGGATTTATTGGGGCTGAATCTAGTAAATCCTACATCTTTTCTACTCTGTTATATAACCATCCATTTACATCTCATCATTCCACGTTTAACCTTAAATTTAGGCCATTTTATATGAAATATTAAGTGAGATGGTGAGGGAAACAAAATATCAAGATAAATTTTCTTACTTTGAAAGCGAGAAGGATATATATGACTTGTATTAACTTCTTTAGTTGTAGATTTGTAAAAAGAGGGGATATGGTGTGTGAATAAGGAGACTGGGATAGTGGTATTCACTATGAACCCGGAGGTCGTGAAATATCAAGAATTAAAGATTCTTTTGGCGAGTTTTGGACCTTTTAGTGTTCCGCATTTAGCTGTAATAGTAAATTCGCTAGCTTCAATTCATCATTGGACATTGGCACACTATAAGGATATTTTCAGGCCAGAGCATATAAATTTTTATATCCACCTCCAGGTCAAAGACAATTGTTGTATTTGTTCCCAAACTTTTTATCGTAAAAGAGTCTTGATGGAAATCCCAGGAAATCTTCACTTGATGAGCGAATAAGATGGCGCTGAACTTTTGGGTCTGTTGGCACCTTTGTTGCATGGATACGGGGTGCGTGTATAAGTGCAGGTATGGATATGGGAACGTGAGTCCGTGACACCAAATTTGTAAAAGAAAGTTGTAAAAGGTAGAGTATGGGTAGACGGCTAGGTACGTATATTGAAATTAGCAATTTACATAACATCAATATTGTTTTTCATTCACATATTATGAGAATTAAAATTTCTGTAACGTTTTTATATTGCTTTTATCATGTAGATTATAATTTGGAAAACTATTCGATTTTTAACTAGATACCTAAATGACCTTTAATATTATAGTTCATATCTGGCTATCGGCTAAAACGAACCCAACCCATGTTCAGGGAGTTCCATGAAGTAGAGTGTACGATAAACGTATCAGAAGTTTATGATAAAGGATTTAAATTAAAATATGTATTATTCGATGTAGTACACATTTTTATAAATATATGCATATATTCAAGGAGTCTCCAAGGATTGTCGATGTATAGTATATGTGTGATACATGATGGAAGTGCCCAAGGAATGTTAGTATATGCTATGTTGGAAATGTGATGCAAGCCTAGAGGGGGCGGGGAGTGAATAAGATTGCTACAAACTTTTCGAATATGCACAGAATATGCAGTGGAAAATAAATATTGAAAAGCTAAGAGCAACTAATACAGGAACACACGCGATTTTTATAGTGGTTTGGATCAAAATTCTATGTCCATTATTTCTTCTCGTGAATGGTCTTCTTCACGATGACCGGAGTTATCCCTGAATTACAAGCCAATTTAGTAAGCTTTACAAATAGGACATTGGAATCTACCTGAAAGCAGTCGAGATGTCCTGCTCCTTACAATGACCAGAAGAAATCTAGCCCTAGCTAGCCACACTCAATTACTCTGGCTCGAGCACATCAACTCTCAATTACTCCGGTTTGAGTACGTAGTCAAACTTGCAAGTTTGAAATACAAGACTAGCCCTAAAACAATTAAAGCGCAATTGAAAAGATCGTACAACACTTTTAACAAACCACCTTTCAAATCACTGACGTCAAAGATCCATGGAGAAGGGGTGTTGAAATCGAACACAAAGGGCACTCCTCGCTGAAACAATCTCTCGATTTTGGGCACGGCGAGAAGAAGTTGAACAACACTCAGGGAATCAAATTCTTACTCAAACTCTCACAAACTCTAGAATTTGATCTCTCAAACTTATGCAAATATCCTCTCTCTCTCTCTCTTGTTATTAATCTCTTCTCCAATCCCTCTTTAAGTAGACATTGATTGCATTGGAAAGAAGCCCTCTAATCAGCGTTGAAGTAGGAGATCAAATATCAAACAACTAAGATTAAATCTAAAAATATGTCAAAAGGCGTCCAAACAATCGATGGTTAAACCCAATCATCGATGGTTGATGTCGATCATCGATGGTTCACCGTAGTCCATCGATTGTACAGATTCTGATTTCTGAAATTTCGCAGATTGTTTATTATAGCCCATCGATGGTTGAAGCGATCATCGATGGTTGACTATAGCCAATTGATGGTTTGATTTCTTGTTTCTGGAATACACAAATTGTTGATAGTAGTCCATCGATGGCCTGTGGTTAAAGGCTGAAAATCAACTATTCATGTTGATTTTTTGCATTGATGGTTAAATGTTGAAAGCAACTGTTCATGTTGATTTTTGCATCGTTTTGAGTCACAACTTATTCATTCCTGTTTATTCCTGAAATGCATCATCTCACAAACTTATTAGTAGCAAATGAGAGTTTGTTATTGATCAAACAAGAAATATTGCACGAACAATGTTCTTCCCAAACAAAGTTCTAACATGGTACGTGTTGTTTATGAGTATAACTTCATGATAGAAGTACCCATGTAACCTAGGTTGGCACAAACGACTCATAATGTGTGATTTTATCTGTAGGCCCAAAACTTACTGATCTCTCCTATCTATGAATGATCATTAGAAACTTTGCGAAGCTGTAAAAAATAAACATATTCTACTTTCTGACTTAGCATCATATGGAGTAAATGATACTCTTGCTACAATGCTTCGGGTTATTTTTAAAATATTCTGTTTAGGGGTTAACTACTAATGGTTTTAGAATGGGCTCTACTTTGTAGTTTTACATACAGGAGGTTGCTGCATTCTGATGGCTTTTAGGAAATTGAAGTTTTTAGAGGTCTACAGGAGATGCTCAATTTTCCACTACAGTTCCAAGCTAAATGAAAATTTTCTATGGTTAGTCGTCTTATATATTTCACATCCTTGAAGTACTATAACATTTATCTGATGATGAGCTAGTGGTCAACCCTTTCTGGAGTTGCGGTTTGGACTGACTGATTTTGTAACGGTATTTCCTTGCATTCGGATTGTTGGCTGGGAGCAAAAGCTCAGATTCTACTTTCAATCAAGATCATCTGGTAATTTTAAACCATCCACTTTGATTCTCAGAGACTTCAAACTACTTGCAGGCCTTGCAAAGTGGGTAGCTGATACTTCATACCTCTCTATGTAAAAGCATAAGAAAATATTGGTCAAGGAACATGCTGAAAGTTGCACTTGTTCTCCTCCCTCGTTGGTGCGAATTTAATAGTCATAAGTTTTTAGAATAATCCATGCATGTTAATTTACCTGATCTGAATACCTATCTATCATACTATCTTTTTGAAAGCAATTTTTTAAGTGTTCGGTCTTTTTCAAAGAGATAATGAAACTAGAGGTCTTGAAAGTGGAACAATAATGAAAATTATTCTCATAATGAAGTGAGGAGTCCTTAAAGGTTGATCATATTTCACTTCCACTTTTATTCACATCTTCCTCATCTTCTTCAGTCGGTGGCTTTTTGAATTTTTGAATTTTTTTCATGAAAATGTCACTTTCAAATTTTGGTACAAAGATAGTAGAAGGATTTGGCTGATTATCATTACTTTTTAACATTTTTGAGTTTTAATGGAGATGATAATTATTGGTTTAGGGATTATTATACTTGAAAAGGCTGCAGGAAGCTTCCAAAAGTGTTTGTTATGCGTGGGTAGTGGGGCTGTATTACTCTTTTGTATCCACTTATCTAAAGAAGATTATGGGCTTTTGACGCATTAGATATACTTTTATCATCCACTAGGATACAGGAGGTTTTCATATTCTTAGGAATCAAGGATGTATTGTACCCTTGTGTTTTGTTACCTACTGAAGGTTATGATGGGAAGTATCATAGAATTCAAGAGTTTTCTTTCCTTTGGATGTTCCTTGTGCCAATAGCATACATGCTACTGTCTTCTATACACATCTCTGGATGTTTTGAGGCAATACGTGCCCGTGAACATTTTATGCCGAACACACATCTGTTAATGCGTAAGAGATCTAAAAATATATAACTGTTTGTGCATCTAGTATCATCCTTTGTTTTTTTCCTTTTCTTTTTTTTTCTTTTTTTTGGGGGGGTGGGGTGGGGGTGGGGTGGGGCATAGATATGCATTGCGTGCTATGTTCTTGCTCTGATTGAAATTTTGATTTCATGGTCGATTTCATGGTGCAAGACGTAATCGTGTATGTATTATGGAAAATCTGCTCTCAGGGGAAGTATTTTAATTTAGTTATGGCCTACCAAAAATCGGTTTATGAATTTTTCATGCTTCCTATTTGCAGAATAAGTTCTATATTGTTTTCTTGTGATGGTGCGTGTCATGTTTTTTCCCCTTAAACTAAATTCGGTGTGGTGTTATTTATTACAGTTGTAAATCTTGCTATTAAACTTTGGGTTCATAGAGTAAGCTACTTATTACAATGCTAAATCTTGCTGCCTTGTTAATTGATTCTTTATACTATTTTAAGTGCAATTTGTGCATGATGAGAGTTGTTAGCTAGGTTGGGAGTTATTTATTCTAGTGTTGCAGTAAAGTTCCAAAAGCTCTGTTATGCTTGGGTCACCTAACCTTGTTAGATGTTTTTTTTTGTGGGGATGCACGGTACTTTTCTTTTCTCTACCAACCTATTCATAATGTGAACTGTGGATTTCGAGCCTTTAGCTGATCCGAATTATAAATTATAGAGCTTTTGACATAATTTAATAGAATGTCTTGTTCCCGTCAGTGTTCACCAACCCCTTCATATTGGAGAAAATGTCTTATTTTATGTTCTACATGGGTTCTCTCTGTCTCAGGTGCTCCCTGATGCCTGTAACTTACTATCGCATTCAATGCATCTCTGCGTGTTGTTCTACTCAATCTATTCTTCCAGCTGATTTCATACTTGATGCAAACTGTTATCTATGAGAGGTCAAAACGTTAATCAAGGACCTGTTTGTGTGCATGTTGACAGCTAGCCGTTTGTTGTGTTGCATACGAAACGCATGAAGGAATAATTGCATTCCATATTTCTCAATTCTGTGAGCTAGCCATTTGATTTCATGGTGAAAGTCATGGGCATCTATACGAAAAATGCAATGATGTGACAGCCTATGTTACCAATATTATTTCTGCTTTCATCATTAAACCTGTACACTGCCCTTTTTAATTAGTTCTGAGGTACGCA